TTTAAGCGAAATCCGTCGGAAATTGTTTGAGAAAATGACGCTTTAGTGACGTCATGTCCGCCATTTTCGGCTCAAAAACGGAAAAAATTCAAACGCCGCTAACATCTTCATTTTTAAAGGAATCAAGACGTAACAAAAAAAAGGTTATACGTGATTCTACTTTGTCTATCAAATAGCTATCTCGGATTTATGAAAATGTTAGATTTTGGCCCAAATAAAATAACTGACTTTTTGGGAAAATAATTATAAAATCCAAAATTTTGAGCGTATAAAAAAACGGAAATATGTCAGAAAAGTGGTCTATGTGCACCTGTGGTGCTGTGGGGCAGTTCACCACATATCAGTGACTGGATTTTACGATAATCAGAAATGGAGAATATCAACCTGGTGCGTGTTCCAAAAATTCAATCAGTTCGATCTAAACGGCCCCAAGTAAAAGAATTAATTTAAGGAGCGGGTTGTTATATTTAAATTACCAAAACGAAGTCAAAAACCAAAACAGCGTATCAGACAATGGAGCGACGAAGAGACGAGAATGAAATCCAAGTTTGCCAAATATGCCCTGCCTAATCTAAGTTATAAATCCCGGACAGAACGGGCCAAATCGCGGAGCCAGACGTGACGCGTCTGCTCGGGCCAAGAGCTCGGCCAGAAGTCCCGGGGTAGCGCGCGGCCCGACGCAGCGGGCCGGGTCCAGACATGCGCAGAAGCACTCGGACACCACGTGGCTGCCGATCGGAGCGCGGATTGGTCACTGGCCGACGGCAGCCACGTGGCTGCCGATCGGAGCGCGGATTGGTCACTGGCCGACGCACTGCGGCAGCGCAGGCCGCAGACACGCGGTCGCATCGTGATGGGACAAAGTTCACGAACAGACACGTCCTGGGCCGCCCCCCCCCCCAGCGCCGGGGCGGGGTAGCGACGTCACAAGTCGGCGCGCGAATCGGTCTGCGCCGGGAACTCCCGTGCCGGCCGGCGACACACGTGGTTACCACAGTACTCACCGCCTCAGCGCGGAGCGCATACACGATAAGCCAAAACAATCACTTTTCACATCACTCGGTGCGCGACGCGATCGACACTTCACTGCGCGACGCAATAATCACTACACGGTACGGCGCAACGCAATCGTCACTGCACGGTCCTGCGCGACGCAAGAATCACTACACCGCGCGACGCAGTTATCACTTCACTGTCGGCGCCACGCGATCAGGATCGTCCTCGAACGCACGTACGCGGGCGCACTTAAAAGTATCGGAAGTCCGGTTGCGGCCGGAACTGCACGCGGCGGCCGCTGCGGGTGTGCACCGGCGCAGCCGCGGACGGCTTGTCGTCCTTGGCCGGCGATGCGGAAGACGTCACTCCAGGTTTTGAAGTCCTCTTGCTGGACGGTCTTGTAGTCGTCGGCGTCGGTGTCGGCTCGTCGGGCGCCCCAGTAGCGAGGGGCCCGAGCGAGGTCGACGGTGACGGCTGCTGCTCCGGAGCCGTAGGCTCGGTACTGCTCGGACCAAGCGTGTCCTCAGGTGGCGGCATGTGTGCCGGTTTGAGTCTGTCGACGCTTACAGTGTCGTGGGCGCCAGTCGGCAGCTCCAACGTGAACACTTTAGGGCTGCGTCTGATGACTCGCATGGGGCCGCGGTACGGGGACTCCAGAGAGTGCCGCACGCGGTCAACGCGTACCCACACGTGTGTGCATGTCATGAGATCGGGTGGCACGTGCGTCGGTGGTGTGCGGGCGTGGTTCGAGCCCTGTGATAGTGTGACGAAATCGATTTCTGACATACGCTTTGCCAGTTCTTGGACGTACTTTGTCCCGACGGGGACCTTCTCGACGGCGCAGCGGGGAAACAGCACCTGCGCGCCTGTGACGGCAGTGAATGCCGAAAAACCCGACTCTGCTGGCATGGCTCTCAAACCTAGCAAAACGACGGGTAGCGCGCGCAGCCACTCTTGCTTGCGCGCCCGGATGGCAGCTTTGAGCGTTCGGTGGACTCTTTCCACCATCCCATTACATGTCGGATGATAAGCAGTGGTTCGGAGGCGATGGAAACCTATCATTGAAGACAAGTGTGAAAACAGTTCTGATTCGAATTGGGAACCGCGGTCTGTGACAACATGCAGTGGCACTCCGAATCGGGACACCCAAGTGTCGAGGAAAGCAGAGGCTACACTTTCCGCGGTGATCGAGACCAACGGCACGGCCTCGACCCAACGCGTGGCGCGATCGATGCATGTCAACAAATAACGAAATGGCGCGGTGAAGGGGTGCCCGTGGGGTACTGACGGGGGCAGCGGCCCGACTATGTCTATATGTACAGTTTCGAACCGCTGCGAGGGCACATCAAATCGACCGGGCGGAGAACGAGTGTGCCTGTGCACCTTGGCTTCCTGGCATGCTTCACACTCCTTCACCCATCGCGCAATGTCACGGCGCATATCATGCCAGAAATAGCGAGAGCTGATGAGACGGGTGGTGCCTTTCCTACCCGGGTGTGACAGGCCGTGGAAACGATCAAACACGGCGCGCCTGCACGCCTCTGGTACATATGGGCGTGGATGTGGTCCAGTGTTTTCACACAGGACTGTGATGTCGCCAGACAGTGTCACTGGCTCCAATCGGGATGTGTCCTGTGGATTTGAGCGCGATCCTGGACCTGACTCAGAATCCTGGTGCTCTGAATCGGCACTGCCGGCGTCTCTATCCTTTTCCTGCTTCTGAGCCGCCGCGATAAAATGGAGGTCACACGCATCGAGCGACACTGCATTTACCGGGCGACTGAGGCAGTCCGCCACCACGTTGTCACTGCCACGAATGTACGAGACCTCCGTGATGTATTCCGTGATGACACACCAGTGGCGCTGTTGGCGGTCAGACTTAGCCGTGTGTGGGCTGTGAAAAGCGCGCACGAGTGGCTTGTGGTCTGTTCGCAGGGTAACGTGGCGGCCTTCGATCATGTCACGAAAATGTAGTGTGGCCAGATAAGCCGCGAGTAGCTCTCTGTCATACGCGGCGTACTTCTGTTGGGCCTGACTGAGCTTCCGTGAAAAGAAGCCAATGGGAACGGGTACTCCGTCCACAATCTGATGGAGCGCGGCACCCACCGCGACTTGTGATGCGTCAGTAACGAGCTCGTACTGCTCGCAGTGTGGCACTGGGTGTGGCAGAGTGCAGGCGCCAGCCAGCGCTGCTTTACTGTCACTGAACGCCTGAGTCTGTTCCTCTGTCCACGTCAGTTCTTTGCTTTTTGGGTTGAGGCGAATCAGTTCGGTCAGGTGGAACGTGACATCGGCGAATCGAGGAATCATACGCCGGTAGAAGCCGATGAGTCCCAGATAGCGACGCAGTGACTCTGAGTCATGCGGTAGAGGGAGGTCCAGAATCTCCTTCACTCTGGCCTTGGGAGGTGTGACACCTGTGCTGGTGACGTCATGACCGAGGAAAATGAGTGACTTCTTCATGAACTCGCATTTCTCCAGTGAGATGCGAAGCTTGTGTTCAGCCAGCTTGCTGAACACGAGGCGCAAATCTTTCTCATGCTGCTCCTGGTTCTCGGAAAATACCAGAATATCGTCAAGATAGACGAACACGCACGGCACGTCTCGGAAGATGCCGTCCATGACCCTCTGGAATGTGGCACCTGCGTTGCGAAGCCCCATTGGAATGAAGGCGTATTCGTACAAGCCGAAGGGCGTGGTGACGGCCGTCTTCTCTGAGTCAGCGGGGTTCATAGGCACCTGGTGATATGCACGGAGCAGATCGATTTTGCTGAACCACTGAGCGTTGTGGAGCTTGGTTGAGAGGCTCTGAATGTGCGGCAGTGGGTAGCGATCCGGTTTGGTTACGGCGTTGAGCGCGCGGTAATCACCGGTGACACGCCACTCACCAGGGGTACTCTTCGGAACCATGTGAATGGGTGAGGCCCACGGGGACCTAGACGGACGGATCACTCCTGTTTTGAGCAGCACATCGAGTGCTTGCTTTGCTGCGGTTAGTTTGTCGGGCGGCAGCTTGCGTGGGCTGGCGAACGTGGGTGGAGCGCTGCCGGTGTCGATGAAGTGAGTGGTTTTGATTGGCGAGTCTGTGTAGTCCGGCTGGTTAGGGCTGAGAACAGCGGGGTGATCCTCGAGGATGGGCCGCACTGCCTCAGGCACCTGAGCAAGATCGTTTATCACCAAATGAACAGACTCCCCGGTCGTCGGTACACCGGGAGCAGAGAGCAGAGTGGTGGAGTCGCGGAGAACTTGGGAACCACAATCGACAACCAACGAGTTGTGAGCGAGAAAATCGTTACCGAGTAGTGGCTCTGTCACTTCAGCCACTACACACCTACAGATCAATTTTTAGAAGAATCGGTTCAAAATGTGGGAGTTATTCAAAATGTTATGACGTCACGACACACAAAATTTTTGGAAAAATGAATTTGTTGGAAGTTCTAGACTTAAGCACAAAAATTGGGCTCTTAAGATCCGCCTTGTTGAGAGCTTTCGATTGCCGTTTTCCCCTTCTTTCTACGACCATCGGTTCGGAAGTTAGGCAGGGGGCAGAATCTGACACCCCCCCCCCCCCAGCAGGGCGCGATTGGCTGAATAGCCCAGCGGGGCGCGGGTTAATCCCCCCCCCCACACACACACACATACTCTAGCTTAGGTATTAGGTAGAGTATATATGCTGTATGTAGTATAGGTACGAGTTTAAAGATTGATGGTGCAGGCTGGGGATGCATCCCTTGTCCTCCCCACTTTCAACGATTGTGATTGTTGAGCGTCGGGCTTTCGCAACCAAAGTTCAAACCACTTGTGTTAAAACTGATCTGCAATCAAGGTAGCGTGTTGCCGTTGTGCGATATGGTATCAGTCAGCACTCAGCACTGGAGGTCCCCTGAAGAGGTGTAGATACTGTCTGAGGTTTTGATCCTCTGTACCACGCCTGAAGAGGTACTGATAATTTGTACCCACTGTCACGGCAGAGCCTGCGCAGCGGCGGAGCTTGTGACGATGATGCAGTGTGTGACGACCGGTTGGGGCGACAACCGCGGAGCCAACGAGGTGGCCAGTCGTCGTGCATTCCACCTGTCAGACAGTGATCTGATGTCGAGGTATCCGTGACGACCTGCCGTTTCAGGTGCCAGCCTGTTTTCTGACATCAGACGGCCTCTGATATTTTGCAAGCCGGCAGGTGTCTTTGGATGCATCGAGAAAGATGGGATATCTTATGGCAGTGCCGCGGTAGACGTGAAAGCGAGCGTGAGACGTGATTTTACAGGAAAGTGGTTGGTTTCATGCAAACTTATTCGGCAGATAACCCCCGTCGGGTTCGAGAGATTCAATACGCCTATGGAAGACGTTTGGCGGGCAGATCTTGGTCAGATTATCACCTTCTTTCGCACCAAGAACCCCAAATTGGCATTGAGTGTCTGGCAAAACCTGTTGGCTCAGTTATCTACTCTACTAAACGAATATCTAGAGACTGATAGTCAAGTGTTATGGAAGATGCTCCTCAACGCGGTCCCCAAGCTGCTGATGACGGGCTATATCGCAGAAACTCAGACCATGTGGAGGTCGCTCACAGAAACGCTACTGGAAACCAGAGGAGTGGGACATTTATACTCAGCATTTGACATGTGGAGAACATTGCTAGACATGGCGCCGAAGATGCTGGCAAAATTTCCTGGCGATGTAATTTAGCCAATGTGGACAGCCGTGTGTCAAACAGCGGTTGAAATGGCGTCGGGTGCTTTTGATCCAGAGCGAGCACCACTGGCTACTTCACCGTCACCACATCAATCACTGGCGCAGGTGCTACCGCCATCACCGATGCCAAAACCGTCACCGGTGCAAACACCAACGCAGCCAGTGCCGCCGGCGCGACCGTCACAGTCGCGACCACCGTTACCGACGTTGTTACCACCGGAACCCCTGCCACGAACATCCCTCTCACCAGTGCGTCCGTCACCAGCAGAGCCGAAAGCGAGTCGCTTTGATCCGGAACGGACACCGCTACCGCCTCTACCAAACGAGGAGCCATCACCAACACCAGCAACGTCACCGTCACCACCTCCCTCACCATCTCTGTCGCCGCTGCAGCCACCGTCACTACGACCGCCACCACCGGAACCCCGGCCACGAGCATCCCTCTCACCAGTGCATCCGCCGACCCTCCCATCACCAGCAGAGTCGAAAGCGAAAGCCGGGAGCCGAAAGCCGTGCTTTGATCCAAGACAGACACCGCTCCCACCACCTCCACCAAGTCTGCAGCTGTCGCCAGTAAGGTCATCGTCATCATCCCCGGCGCTGGTACAGTCAACGTCACCGTCGCCGTCGGCATCACTGTCAGAGGCTCAGTGCCTTCCACCAAAACCACGCCCGAGGTCAAAGCCGAGCTTGCAAAAAACTCAGTCCACTCCATCGGAAACAACAGCTGACGCAAGGCCAACCAAACCAGAACTGAAACCCAAACCGCAGCTCGTTAATCGAAACCCCTCCATAGCCCCCTCAATGACGCAAGCAGCACGTGCGGTGCTCAGACCCACTGCGAAGCCACCGCCACCTCCTGTGGCGACCACGTCAGGTGACGACGCACCCAGGACAGACCCCGAATGGGGAAAGAATGTGACGCAGCATGTCCTCACGGAGCTCAGTCACAGAGGTGTCGGGGCCCCGCAAAGAGGACAGCAGGCGGTCCAGCCGAACCTCGCACAGGACGAGCCAAGATGGGAAACGGGGTCTCGCAGTCCTTCGCAAACACAGACGGTAGGTAATTAAATATAACCCATCAAACTCTAAATAGCCTGAGATTCAAATATCCCGGAGGCTGTGGGGTATTTCACCACACACCACTTGCTGGGGAGGGGAGGGACGTTAAACGGCCCCAGTCGATAGGACTGGAGAACTAATAGGCGTAGCGAAACGGGTGAGGCGGCAAACGAAAGAACGCGACGGGACGCTTCTGACGAGTACTTTAAAGTTGAAGTGGAAGTTGGAGGTCACAGCTCGGGTCAAGGCCAGGTCAAACACCTAACATTGAGCTTCCAGATGCATGGACTTTAAGAACCTTGTACTGGGCGTCTCTTAGCAACTGTCAGGATTGTGCACAATCTTTCATTCAACCTTTGCCCGAGTGTGTGTGTGGGGGGGGGGGGGGGCATTGTTTTTATCACACCTGACAGTTTTTTGCGTGTGTAAGGAAAACCGCAGCGAGCAACGCCATGAAACTTGGTCTATAGCTTACCATGCATCAATATGACATCGTGTGTGTAATTTATGACCCCAGGACATATAAAGTCAGGTCACCACGTCAAGCCGACCCGCGCCCCGTAGGGGGGGGGGGGGGGCGAAACGGCCCCCCGTGTCCTTTTCCCTCGATATCTCCTAAACGGCTGGAGATATGGCCACCAAACTTTCAGGACCCCTCCGGGCATCAATTTTACACAATGTGACCAAAAGTTTTTCCAGAGGCTATGATAGATTGGTCACAAATGACGTCAGAATGACGTCATGTTCTGCCATTTTCGACCGAAAAAAGACCTTCGCGAGAAGAGCTGTCAGGCCTACAGCTTCGAAGATACAGAAAAATGACCAGACATAAAAGGTGTAGAATTAACAGGGCTACAAAACTGTCATCTCGGATTTTTTTTTTAATTTTTGAGTTTTGACCCCCAAAAATCAAAAATGCCATTTTTTTCTATATTAGCCAACAAAAAAGTCTTTTGAGTTTCGAAAAACGGAATATATGTGATAGTACCTACCATCTCCTATCTACATACCAAATTTCAGATCGATATCTCGCTTTTTGGCCAAGTTATAGCAAAAAAACTGTGCAAAAATGATGACGTCAAATTTTCAAACTCAATTTTTGGCAATTTTAGACCACGTAGGGCAAAACAAAGACCACCATTGGACTCCCCGTGACGAGCTGCATCGAATGGGTACCCATTTTATGCAAAACTATCAACTTTGAAATTTGACCTAATTTGACCTGACCTTGACCTGACCTTGACCAAAACGTGACTTAAGCTGGCTCCAAAGGCTGCCTGACCCGCATAATCGCATTTGTCATATAAAATGGACCATAAAACATGTATCACACGACACTTTCATATTGTGACCTCCGGTGACCTGACCTCGCTGTGACCTGACCTGGTATCAGTGACCTCAGATAGCAAAGTATGTGTTTGACGAACAATGTACCATCGATGGTTTTCAATAACTTAGCAATTTACTCGATTTCACAACACATTTCTTGAAATGCCTGTGACCTGACCTGTGACGTCATCGGTTTGACCTAGGTCAATGAAATTTGGTCACAAGGTAGTTCCCGGGTGGAGCTATCCAACGCCGTTTGAATTTTGAAAATCCGCTGGTAAATTTCCGAGATCTTAGGGGGGGGGGGGCCTACGGCTGGTAGGGTCCGCCGGTAGCCCTACGGGGCGCGGGTTAACCGATGCCTCTATGTAAAAATTGCGATTCTTTTGTTTGTACAGTTTATATCCTAGAAGTTTGAAACCCGGACTATTCCATGAAGGAGATAGTACCTACCAGCAATTTTCAGAGCTCGGAACTTGGATAGGGTTAGGTCGGTTTTGCGACCTCTCCATTTTCAATACGGAAAAATGAAATACCCCTCTTTTGAATAATAACGCAAACATCGGGATACAGGTACAAATGACACACTGAATCGGAAAATTGCACCCGTGAGCCCTTTTATGCCCCTGAGGTCATTTCAGGCTCTGAAACGTCTCCAACAGTTCTTTGACAATACCTTTAGGCAGAAACACGCTAGAGCTGTAAAAACAAGTCAGGCGTGTTCAACTCAACGATACAAAGCGACTGATATGCAGTTTAACCCTTTTTCTGACCTTGAGCTGAGGTGAAATTTTGAAGTTGACCTTTTCAGATCAACTCATAGTTCAGTTGACGTGTTTCGACGAGAGAAACCCGATGCCGATAAATTTAACATAAAACAAGCCTGCTGTCAAAAGCTATAAAAGTAAGATATATTTCGCAAAAAAATGTCAAATTTTGAGGGTTTTGCCCTCAAGGAGGAGGATCGTGTAATGCTTGAGTCAGAAGCTATTGCAGAATCATTGTTTCCGAAATCCTCGCCGTCCGTGTTATGGAAAAGGCCCTCGCCTGGCAAGGGTTAAAATAATACCACCATTTAAGTGCGAGATACCCAGGCAGTTGCCGTTGTATTTCGTCAACCTCCACTAGCTGGGGAGGGGGGGGGAGGCAGCGTTAACCCGGCCGGGCCCGGGGGGTAATCCCAACCACCGCAGCCCGGGGGGGGGGGGGGCGTTTTTCGCCCCCCCCCCTGTCTAACTCCGTAAATAAGGGAGCTACGGAAACAAAAGCGATACCAAACGAAAGGTCCTTACGAGACGATTGTAATGCACCTAAAATTTTTGACCTCAGGTCAATTTTCAAGGTCAGAGGTCAAGGTCAAAGGCCAAAACCGGCACATGTGTAGTGATCTCAAAGTAAGCCTTCTAGAGGACGGCAGGCTGCATCAAACCGGCAAAATTGGGTGTCAAACGAAAGAAGAGAATCTGAGGATTCTGAAAATGTGCTCCAAATCAAAGGTCAAGGTCAAGGTCACGCTCAAAATTGACCTCAAACTTGGCACTTTTGCGCACATCTTGCGTGCTAACTTCCAAGATGTTTTGAAATGTTTTGAGGCTTATCAGTTCCCTATTTGTGGTTCATCTTACGATACAAGGCTGCTCAAAGGTCAAGGTCACAGAAGAGTATCCCTGCTAGAGGCTATTTCACTGATTCAAGCTAGTAATAATGAATAAGACAATTTTGCCATCCGGAAGCTCTAAATGAAGGCTTAGAGGAAAATAGATGCCAGATTCGTGATCAGCGGGTACAAATCCATCATAAACGACCTTTCATGTGTCAAGGTCAACCAGAGGTCATTTGAGGTCACATGAGGTCAACATGAAACTTGACCTTTTCCGAACAAAATATATATCATTCGACGCGGCTTGACAAGGCGAATGCGATGGTACCACTGCCGTAGCTCTAGGACCATTTTTGTCGAAGTTATTTGCGAAAAACTAAAACCACATTTCGGGGTCGTTGACCTGACCTCTGACCTCAGGTCACCAAAACTATTTTTCTATTTTTCTCTAGGTCAAACGCTACACAGCCGTGCTCGTAATTTGTCTTTATCTCTAAAACTCTATTTTTAGCAGCTATTTGAAGTTTACGTCTGTGACGCCGATTTTTGCCGTGCAGGGGTCTAGAAAAATGGACCTTGTGACGTCATCAAGGGGGATAGGTCCAAATTTTTTACTTCAGAAGATGTCAAATTGATGGGAGAAAAGGTACTGAAAGTTTCGCCTTCCTATCCCTAAGCGTTCGGGAGTTATCGCAAATATTCGCCAGGGGGGGCGAAAAACGCCCCCCCCCCCGGGCCCGCGAGGGTTAAACGAAACGACCCAGCCAATAACTGGGCAGTCAAGTACGGCGGCGAAACGGACGAGGCGGCAAACGAAAGATCGCAATGGTACGTTTCTGATGGGTATTTTAACGTCGAAACTTAAGACCACAGGCACGGAATATATAATAGTCTACGACACACCGCCACTGGGGCGCGGGTTAAGTGACTGGGTCTCTGGGCACCTGAGTGCAACGCAAAGCAGCGATGGCTCGCAAGTACTGATATGATACCATATCACATGTTTTGCACTACATCCTTGCAATGGATGGTAACATTGAAGAGCCAAGGTCGGACAAGAAGATAAAGATGTATCTAAAAACAGCTCGCAGCAGACAAGTGAATGTGATTACAGGCTATGCCATTGCTTGAACTGGTGTGCCTTTTTTAGAGCATTGGTGATAACGTAACGACCTAGTAACCAGCCAAAATGCTGGTAATTTCTATTATGACTTCTGACCTGTGACGTCGTCGGTGACCTCGAGGTCAATGAAATAAGGTTTCGCTTGACAATTTGTCCAGGGCTGTCAGAGCCGTTTGAATTTTGCAATCGGCCCAGTGGTTTCGAAGATAGGAGGGGGCTCTAGTCTGTAGAGCCCCTCTCCCTCCCCCCAGTCAACAGCATTTGGGAAAATATCCAGTCATGCGCAGTTTAATAGCTATGCCAACACAAGCTTTTAACCCGCGCCCCATTGGCGCGGGTTATCTTCAACATGGAGCGATTATTAACCCCCCCCCCCTATTAACCCCCCCCCCCTCCCGTTTTTCTGCAATAACTTCTAAACCGCTAGACATATTACCGCCAAACTTTCAGTACCTACCTTCGTTTGTATCAATTTGACACCTTGTGTCAAAATTTGAGCTTCGTATCTATCATAGGTCGGCCAGAAATGATGTCAGAGTGACGTCATGTTCGGCCGATTTCGACGCAAAACATTGAACCACGGGAACCGCTCCCAAGAGCTCAGTTTTTGAGCTAGATTCAATTTCTTTGCGTAAGAGGACTCAAAATGGACTGCGCTATCAAACCGCCATCTTGGATTTTCAAAATTTCCAAAATTTTGAAAATTATTTCAAAATTTCCAAAATTTTGAAAATTATTTCAAAATTTCCAAAATTTTGAAAATTATATAAATTAAAATTCAAAATTTATATTTTTTTTTTGACTTCTCGAAAAAAACCGGAATATATATGATAGAACACATGCTTATGACTTACTCTAGCAAGTTTAGGCCAGATATCTTCAAAAATGGGCAAGTTATACGCAGTATAGCAAAAATTTCACAATTTTAAATTTGTAATATAAATAATTTTACAGTACGAATTTGACATCGTACACCAATATAGATAGCACTGTCGTGTTCCTGAGCTCAAACTGCATCCGATGGACATGTTTTTTGTTGAAAAATTTCAACTTTCAAATTTGACCTTTTTTGACCTGAAAGTGACCTGACCTCAGCTATATTCAGTTGAAAATGGCCTCAAATGACACAAGTGACACCGAATTCGAAACATATGGCCTAAATGGACCATAAAACATGTGTCACGTGACCGACTTATGATATAAGCTTTCCGTGCCCTGGGATGACCTGACCCTGACCTGAAAATCAAAGTACAAGTTTGGTACCCTCAGGGTATCTAAAGTATTTGTTCACGAGTGTGTAAACCAAAAATGAGCCTGATCTGACTTGTAAGACGGCGGCCAGAGCCCAAAATGTGAACAAGCCAAACATCAATAAATTTACTTTGACCTGACCTGTGACGTCATCAATGACATCGAGGTCAATGAAATTAGTTTTCGCTCGACAATTTTTCCGGGTCTATCAGATGCCGTTTGAATTTTGACGATCGGCCCAGTAGTTTCGGAGTTAGGGGGGCTATGAATAGCTCCCCCCTCCAGTAAGGCGCGTTATACACAGACCCCAGTGGGGCGCGGGTTAATTAAAGGGACTATCCCACCTTTAACATGGGGTTTGAGTTGAGATAGCCAAGTTTGCGGCGAGGTTCAGAAACCACAATCTATCTAGGTTGCAACCCCCGCGGCCTCTTGGTGTTGAAGAAATTCGCTTCCATTATTTGAAAATGGGCCTTGTGCAAGGCCCTATCTTCAACATGGAGCGACCGTTAGTGTGACGTCACCTCGTTTAGTCATTCTGATTTAAATGGGTTTGTTCGTTGAAAAATCGCTTAAAACTTGGTCTGAACTTTGTTGTGGTGCCTACAGAGTAAAAAGAATCAGCATTATGACAGTAATGTGGCCTTGGGAAGGAGGTAATTTTGGGCTGTGACGTCACATATTTGAAAGTTTGTGTTTATGAATATACCTATTTATGAAAGTTTGTGAATATGGGAAGCCTAAGATGTTTAATGAAAAATAAATGCCAGAACCGTGTTCCTGGTCATCCAATCTATAAAGTCGGGCACAATTTAACTGGTTTTAATAACATTTTAGAAGGTGGGATAGTCCCGGCAGGCGGTGAGCCTACCAGCCACCTTCCGCGCGGTGGGGGGGGGGGCATTTTTTTGCCCCCCCCCGTATCTCCGAAACTACTGGACGGATCCGGAAAATTCAAACGGCGTTCGATAGCCCTGTCAAATTTGTCCACAGGAACCAAATTTCATTGACCTCAGGGTCACCGATGACGTCACAGGTCAGGTCAAAGATAAAATGTTCACCGTTCACGGGGCTTCTAGGGAAAGCGCTATAACACCGGGTAAAACGCATTTTGTCGAAAATCAGCGATAAGGCGTCAGTTGTCTAGTACATATGTTGCTATTAGAGGTCACTGGTCATACCAGGTCAGGTCACAGGTCAGGTCACCAAAGGTCACAAGGGTCACCACATGAGCCCAACTTTACTAAGGTTATGCGATGCATGTTTTATGGCCAGTTTTTTCATTTCCAACTCAACGATGCTGGTTATAAGACCATCAGGTACGGTCTAGGTCACTTTCTGGTGGAGGTCAGGTCAAGGTCAGGTCAAAAAAGGTGAAATTTCAAAGTTGATATTTTTGCATAAAATGGGTATTGATTCGATGCAGCTCGTCACGGTGAGTCTAATAGCGGTCTTTGTTTTGCGCTACGAGGTATAGAATTGCTAAAAATTGAGTTTGAAAATTTGACGTCATCAATTTTGAACAGTTTTTTCGCTATAACTTGGCCAAAAAAAGAGGTATCTATCTCAAAGTTGGTATGTAGATAGACGGCGGTAGGGACTATCACATATATTCCGGTTTTTTGAAATTCTATTTCAAAAAACTTTTTGGGTTTTCTGGCTATTATATTCAAAAAATCTATTCTTTGATTTTTGGGGGTCAAAATAAAAAAAAATCGAAAAACCGAAAAAGCAGTTTTTGTAGCCCTCTTGATTCCACACCTTTTATGTTGAAACATTTTTCTGTATCTCTAAAGCTGTAGGCCTGACAGCTCTTCTCGCGAAACTCTTTTTTGGGTCGAAAATGGCAAAAATGACGTCACTCTGACGTCATTAGCGGCCAACCTATCATAGCCTTTGGAAATTTTCTTTGGTCACCATGTGCGCTAGCTGCTCCCGGGAGGGTACTGAAAGTTAGGTGACGATCGGCGCAGCGGTTCTCGAGATATATTGAAAAACTAAAGGGGGGGCAAAAATGCCCCCCCCCCACCGCCTGGAAGGTTAATATCCTACCAACTGTCGGGTCAAGATGCACGTCACTTTGAAAGAACGATCTAAATTTGAAGAATTTGTCACAGAAACATCTACAATCTACATTGATTCGGTTCATTTATACTCTGAAGTCATTAGTTCTGAAACTTAGTATATTTACTACTTTATGCTACAAAAGTTTCTTAGAAACTAGGTGTTGTGTGTCCTCTTTCCATGATGTCTGATCAAAACCAGCAAGTTCAAAAGGTTACATAACAATTTTCTGAAGAAAAAAAAGGCCGATGAATGATGATACCGTTCCGTTTCGCACAACTTGCAATATGATCTGACTCGCTGAAAAACTTCGTTCTTTTTCAGGCAGTGAATGGTGCCTCCAGGTCCGTCCGAGTTCATTTCTCACTTTTCTCCGCGAACGGGGCGTCGCACGCTGAGGAGCCGGCCAGCACCGCGTCCAGCACCCCAGCGCACCTCCCTCAGCGGCCAGTGCCCCGTTCTCCGGGTGCTGCCACCGCGCCTCTGAAGTCTGAAGGGCCAGTGCTGCATCCGCTCTCCTCTTCAGCGTCTCTGACTGCGGCCACGTCGCCCTCCTCCCCGGGCGAGCCGCCGCTCTGGTGCCGACTGCCCTCCGTTGTCAACAGCGGCGTCCTCGACAGCCTCAGCAGCGACCAGAGAAAGCTGCGAGAGACTCTGTTCGAGATCATCAGTACGGAGGAGTCGTATCACAACTCTCTTCAGCTAATAGAGCGTCATTTTCGGGAACCGCTTCGGGCGCTGAGCCAGAAGCCGACTTCCACGAAGGAGAACGGGCAGAACTCGATCAGTGGGATAGAATTTCGCGAGCTGTTCCAAAACCTTGACGAAGTGCGCCGGTGTTCTGCGTCGTTTTTGACCAGCCTGAACAACATACCAATGGACGATCTCTCGGGCCTCTGTGATATTGTCCAGGAACACGCAAAGTATCATTTCTACCCGTACAAGGTCTACTGCGCGCGCAAGGTGCAACAGGACCGTCGTCTTCAGCAGCTGACTAAGCGGAGCTCACCCCTCGCCGCGCTGATCGCCCGCCTGGAGACATCCCCGGAGGTGCGTGGCCTGGGTCTGCCGGCGCTCCTCCACCTGCCCGTGCAGCGCGTGCAGAGGCTACCGATGATGCTGGCAGCTGTGCTGAAGAGGATGCCACTCGACCACCCGGAGAGACAGAGCTGCGAGCAGGCGAACCGGGCGCTCACTGAACTCGCCAGGGACTGTGACGAAAGTGCAGCCCGAGGAATCGGGAGCATGGTAAGTGAAGCGTCTAGTTTCTTCTAAAATGACCATTAACCCTCGCATGTGTAGGGAGAGGGGTCGGATGGACCCCCATGGTTTTTCGCGAATAACTCGCGCAAAAAGCGGCCGATCGCAACAAAACTTTCAGTACCCTCGAGTTGATCAATTTTACACCTACTCTGCAAAATTTCATGACCCTGACCCAAGTGACCTTTGACCTGTGACCTATTTCTCGAGCTCGACGTCATGTTTGGCCGGAATCGCGATTCGGCGTATGTTGGCTCGCATTAGCCGCACGTTTGCAAGCTTCTCGTGGTTTCAAACGCTAAAACATGAGATTTGATGCTGCTCCCATGCATTTGGGTGGATGTCAAGGTCACCTGAAGGTCAGGTCAGGTCACTGACCTTTTGTGACCTCGGTTCACTTTTTCGAGCTGTACATGTTTATAGGCTAGCTTTTGGAGCTGAATTCGAATTAAGCAACCATTGGAACATTTATGAAGTAGTGTTGGTGCCTTCGTAACATGTAACGAAGCTGTCAGAGGCGGTTGACACGTACTACGAATACCCGTCACGACGCCTACTGGTTGACCTGACCTGGCCTGACCCGACCTGATCTAAATGCTTGAAGACATCATCTATGATCAAAACTAACACGATATTCTTGATCAGCACCCCGAAAAAACCCTTAGCAGCCACACTTTACGACTTTCTAACAGGTCCCGATTTTCCCGACTTTGGGTCATTGACCTGACCTGGAATGTCAACCAATGATCTAGGACCTTAAAATCGGGTATCATCGGCTTCCTCTCGTCACGGGCAACACGCTCGTTTTTTCCGCGAAGCTCTAGCTTGATCAGGGGCCAAACGGCAAGGGGGTCCAACGACCGACCCCCCCCCCCCCCCAACACATTACGAGTAAAAGCTGGCAAACGCAGCACACATGCGAGGGTTAATGCGAAGTTTTTCTAGCTGCATATGTAGGGGACATTGGGGTAAGATGCCCAGGGTGGGAAAGACCCCTTCTAGCGGCAAAACAAATAATCGAACCTGGAAATTAATGTTCTTGGCCAGGGGCGCGGGAACTACTTTCAGACTGGGGGGGGGGGGGGGCACACCATGATAGAGATCAACCCAGGGTACCCCCAAATTTAGTTTTCTCGCCGGTTTTAGACCACTTATTTTTCATCTCTTGGCATTTTCAACAAAAAAAGAAAACATTTGCAAAAAAGTGCGGTATTCCGTCTTAAAGCTGTGGGGGCACCGCCCCCACGGCCCTAAAGTTGGGGGGGCAAGCTGCCCCCACTGCCCCCCCCCCCCTGGTTCCCGCGCCCATGTTCTTGGCGTAGGTAAAGCGGAAGCCTGCCTTGATAGCTGCACAAAAATTTGCAATGCTCAGTTGGGCAACGGTTGGCAGGTGTTTGCATGCTTTTTATTTGCTGCTTTCAAAATTGTTTTGGTGTCAAAACATTGTAAATATCAAAGAAGGTAAATAATTTTTATGCCCTCGCTATGGTCGTGCTACACCAACATGCGTGTACTGTGTCCCAACCATAGTTTGTTTGAGGGTGTTGTTTTATGGCTAAGAAATTGTACTGATTGAATGGTCCCTTGGGGAAAGATGATCCCTGCCCTGATGGGTAAAGGGCCCCTAAATCTGTGGGCTGTCTTTCAAGCCAACCCGTCGAATCATTTATTACATCCTTGTGATGAGAGACAAAAGCCGATCTTCAATACGGAGAATCCAATGCGGTCGGGTGCTCCCCATGCCGGTCTCTCGGGCCACACAGAGGGAGGCATCTGACTCTGAGAGCCCTCACGACGGTGGGCCCCATTATTGGCTCCAAGGCCCCTCACGACATCCTTTGAGGACTCCCACGCTGGCTCCATGGGCCGCGCTGGCATCTGAGGTCCCCATGAACGATGGGCTTGAGTGCCCTCAAGCATCATGAAGACATATGTATAAGAGCCCCACAACGGTCTCCGAACGCCACCACGGAGGCTTGTTTGGCCGCGCTGGATTATGATGGCCCTAATGATGGCCTCTGAAGCCCCTCACGCTTACTTTTGAGGGCCCTTTCGATGGCGTTTAATCTACCACAGGCTCGAAGTGACTGTTGATTCGTTCAGGCAATTCACGTGCCCGCAGGGGCATCTTCCCCAACGCCATGGGGGGCGTCTTTCTCACCCTCTGGGGGTAAGATGCCCCCTTTCATTTCTTCGGGAAAATGCTTAATAGCAAAAAAAGTTATTATATTTCAGGCACAAGAGTGTGATATTTTTTAAGAGAAAAATGATGTTGGATTCCGTTGAAACTCCAAGGTTTTTTTTATAAATGTAGCTCGAATGTTTGAATGGACGGAATGACAGAGCCGGAGCCCACGCTAAGCAGAGCTTGTTGCGTAGACCCCGACCTATACCGTCCGATCGCGCAATTCCGGGTAACGGGAGAATTTAGATGCCAAAGTTTAACGTGCCCTTCAAAGCCGGACACGGCCTGTCCCACTCAACTGACTTCAACTGGCTGCGGCTGCTCCCACCAACCGCAGACCATCCCCGTCAGGAGTCTCAATTATCGAGCGCCGGAGCGTCTCGAACCCAGGCTCTCACTACCGGGAGTCCAATGCTCTACCAACAGAGCTACGGGACAGGCTTTTGCTTTCCGATCGTCATTTTCAAATAATTTATGACATTGCCAACCCCTGGGCATCTTTCCCCACTTTCCGTGCACAGTCTGTCTTAAAAATAGCGCGCAAAGTAACGGTGGGTTCATCAAGCCTGACCGAGGAAGGACTGCTAAGTTTGAGTCACCGAAGCAATAGACATCCTCGTCCATTCCCCAGGTCAATTGGTTCGGTGACTTTCGAATTATAGCAGGCCCTTCCTCGGTCAGGCTTGATGGATCCGCCGTCACTTTGCGCGGTACTTTTAACCCGCGCACCGACGGGGGGGGGGCGGATATCCGCCCCCCCCCTGAGGTTTTTCGCGGATAGCGGGAAAACCGCGGCGCGTAGCGCCGCGAAATTTGGTATGACTATTCTCTCATCAATTTTACACATGGTGTGCAAGTTTGAACCTCCTAACTTTTAAGGTCAGGTCACCAGGTCACTTTGAATGACCCAACCTCAAGTCACTTTTTTGCAACTTTGTCACCGTGCCAGAGCTACAGTAGATGTCGGAGGCCTTTGAAAGTCGCAGGATGTTATTAGGTCATTAGTAGCTACAATTTGTATATCTCGGAATTTTGATGTCGGTGACCTAAGGTCAGGTCAATTTCGCGACCTCCCCATTATAAGTCAATGGGGGAAAAATCAACTCCCTGTTTTTACCACTAAAACGGGTCGGAATGGCCCCATATACCATACATGACTTCACATACGATCAACCTTCACTACCTTGAGGTCTGTTTTGCTGTTGGGCAGCTGTAAGGTCATGTGACGTCATCAAAGGTCACCAAAGGTTTTTTGCCAATAACTCCTTACAGGAACAAGATACAGCCGCGCGGATGGTCTCATTGTGTTCAGCTCGTCAAGACGCATCGAATGATATACATGATGACCTCGAGGTCACGTGACCTGAGGTCAACCTTTGACCTTGACCTTTCGAGGTCAACATATATGTCATTCGATGCGGATTGACGAGAGGATCACGATGGTGCCCTTAGTTTGTTCCTATCTTGACTACTTCGAAAGTTATTCGAGAAAAACCATCTCCATATCTAGCGCCGCCATTTTGACTTTTTCGACCCCTGTGACGTCATCTTTGACCTGACCTGAAAATGACCTTAGTAAAAATTGTAGACCTTGTCCGTGCGCATCCGATGCCGTTTACCGCTTGTCGCTATCTTGCTTCGTTCTCGAGATCTCAGGGGGGGCGGTCATCCGCCCCCCCCCCCCCGTCGGTACTAAGTTGGCGCAGACCCCCGTCGGTGCGCGGGTTAAGACAGACTGTAGGTACATACATTCCTCGCTGCGTTTCTTACAGCTAATCTAACATCTCTGTTCTCTCCTGCCCCATTTTCAGAAGTCGTTTCAGGATAATGGCACCACTGACCCATTCAGGGTCTCAAGGCTTCGCCTATCACGGCGGCGGTGGGGCGTGCACCGTCACGGCAGCGATGTGGGGTCACTCTCACTATCCATAGGAAAATATACACCCCTCGATTGGTAATTTTGCACTTTAGGAGTACCAGTATCCCGATTTCTCATGTATGAAAACCCGAATAGAAGTAATTGTGCACCATTTATTCTGGGTTCCTGTACCATACGGCATACGTACACTTATGATCCTTTTCCCATTCCTTAGAGTAAGTGTACCTCGAAGGTTCACACTTCAGTGTATCCTGCAAATTCGGAGTACCGTTATCACTTAGAAGAGTTAGGTATATTTCTACCTTAGAAATAAGAATCCGTCGTGATAGGGATGCATTACCAGCATTTTCTTTTTTACTGTCTTGTTATTGAAAAAGAGGTGTACCTACTCGTACGTGATAGGTGAAGTTTGTGACGAGCTGTGGATGACCGCAGGCGCAGCAAATCCGTAGCCTATAGCAGGGCCTTGTCTAGCATGTTAACTACTCACTAACTAGTACTAGGGGTGGGGGTGGGGAAGCTGCCTCGGTAATTTAACGAATTGTCCCCGGAGTCATCGACTTTTGCCCCCTATACGAAAAATGGAGCTTCACAAAAAATGGATCCGACTCAACTCATTCAACTCAAGGATTGGTGGAAAAGCAAAGCAAGCGGGGCACCTCTCCACATAAAAAACATGACACCGCCGGGTTAACACTTCCGTCTCCGGTGGTGAATTGGTGAATTGGTGAATAATGGCCGTTTTCACGACGGAACTTTCGCGGTGGAACCTATTTGATAATTTGATAGGTCTGGAAAGTGTCGTGAAAATGGCTATTATGTATCTGAAGCCCAGACTGAAAGTTTCTTGTGAATGCGTTGAGCGGTTTTGAAGATATTGCAGAAAAACGAACTTCGGTTCTGTAGAGCTGTAGAGACCCCCCAAGTCATGTGCAGAATAACTTTCAGTCATATGGTTAGGAAAAATGTTTTATTAGAAGCAGCATCTCGATAACGAACTATTTCGCTCAATACAATGCCCATTCGTCTAAAATGGCGTCCAAATACAGTTGTACAGAGATATAACGTTCTACCGACACGCAATACATCGCGATCCCGTTTCCAATACGGCATAACTCATGATTCTCAAATACGTCTTCAATGTTCTTGAACATTGAACATTCAATGTTCATTGAACATTCAATGTTCATTGAACATTCAATGTTCATTGAACATTCAATGTTCATTGAACATTCAATGTTCTTGCTTAGGTGTGAGCAATGCGGAAGGAAAGTCTCATGCAAAATAAAAACGTATTGACGTCACAAAATATCTCCGATGCCGTCGTACCTCACAGAATGTCATCATACAACGTCAAACGTTTGACGCAGCGATGTGTCTTTCCTCGCTATAATATGGAAGAAGGGCAACAATTACACATCACCTCAACGTGGGTGAGCAACGAACCACCGCCTACGATCCGGGAGAAACGCGGGGAAAGATAGAGAAAGGGGACAAGGAGGACAGGGAGAGAAAGAGTACATTACTACTACAGAAAGAGAGAGAGAGAGAGAGAGAGAGAGAGAGAGAGAGAGAGAGAGAGAGAGAGAGAGAGAGAGAGAGAGAGAGAGAGAGAGAGAGAGAGAGAGAGAGAGAGAGAGAGAGAGAGAGAGAGAGAGGAGAGGGAGGGAACATGTTTGTTTTACAAACAGACAGACACAGGCAGACAGGCTAACAGGTGCGTATCAGATTAGCGAGAAATACTGAAAGGGATGATGACATCGAATAAGGATAGTGCTTAGCAAACGGACACACAAAAACTGGGCAGAGGAAAAGAAAGAAGGAAATGTATGTAACACAAGAGGAGATGGAAAGGGGGAGGAATAGTACACAATTATATCCCGCGAGTTGCTGGGGGGGGGGGCGTTAAACGCCCCCACTTTTTTCGCCGGGCCATAGCATAAAAACGGCGCGCCGCAGGCGCGCCAAATTTTGGGTACCTGTAGGGAATTGATTGAAGTTTATTGTGACAAAGTTTCAAAAAAATCGGTAGGAAAATTTTTGAGATATCGAGGTTTTAGTGACGTCATGATTTCTGAGTTTTCGACCAAAAACGGCATATGTTCAAAAAATCATATAAAATCACAGAATAGACATATAGACATGCCATAAGCGCCATTAGACTGCCAATACCATGGGGAATCAAATGGCTATCTTCGATTATTGATTATCGTTCCGCATTTTCCAAAATCTTGAACTGAATCTTGGCAATTTCTCGTGACTACTTCACGACCATGATACATGAATTTCTTAAATTGAACTTTTTTAGCCAAACACGTACACATATGATAAAATGAATGTCACCATCGTGTTCTACGCCCCAAATTACCCATAAAACATGTGTCACAGGCTGCGAATATCAGTTTTTATTTTCGGGGATATGTGCCTGCCCGGTTGACCTGACCTTGACCCTGACCTATGCTTGACTGACCCCTGCATGGAGCTGACACTCTTGTAGGCCTTATATGATGGATTGTGCACCGTTTTGACAGAGTTTATGACGAGAGGCGCCCATTGCGAAGTCCTGAAGTCTATGCTACTGAAAGCCCGATTTCAGGTGTTTGACCTGACCTTGACCTGACCTGTGACCTCAAAATTCAACTTTAAAGTACTCATCTGAAGCGTCTCGTTGCGTTCTTTTGTTTGCCGCCTCGTGCGTTTCGCTGCGTCTATTGGTTCTCGAGTTATCGGCTGGGGGCGTTTAACGCCCCCCCCCCCCCCCCCAGCAAACGGTGGGTGGCGAAATACCCCAGCAACTGCCGGGATATAAGAGGGGTCGATTTCGTTGCATTCGCACCAAATTACCTGTCAGCTGCAGATATACCTAACTCGTTTACCGGACTGAGTCAGTCATTTACCGGACTGAGCCGGACTGAGCCGCGCGGAGCCAGATATTCGCCGGACTGAGTCCGTAATCCACCGGACTGAGCCGCAAGGAGCCAGATATTCGCCGGACTGAGCGGTGCAATACAAGAGCGTGGCGTATTCCTCACCATCGCGTGCGTACCGCGAATAACTACTTATACCATAATGGACGAGATTTACATACGTACATGAATGAAAATCACACAAGTGATGACGTCTTTTCGTGTGTGCAGTGTTCTTGGCCCTACGATCGATGAACTATTACAAGCATGTGCGCCGTAGGACCGCTATACATCAACCACTTCACTGGTGCCTTCTATGGCTCAGGAACAGTGTAGCGACTCACGGCAAACGACAAACAGCTCACCACAATTCGATAACACCAACCCACACTGCAAGGCGGCCAGCTGTCCGCCCAGCCCGCCAGGAACACTACGCGGACACGCGCACACACCCCACAGTAACACACCCCTGATACCCTCCCACAGTCTGACTGAATACCCTGCCCTCCCGGCCGAGTGACAGGCCTAGGTGGGCGCCGAGTTGGGGTCCGCAGTCGGCAGCAGAGTCTGGTGCGCCGGCACAGTGGCCACGCTGGCCTCGGCGGTGCGCGATGCCTCGAGCACCGGGCTGAGCCGGCAGTCGCGCCGGCCGCTGGGCTTGCGCTCGGGCGCGGCGCCGGACGCCGAGCGACCCTCGGACAGCGCGCCGCCCGACTCTGCCGACAGCTTCCGGCTGCGCATCGACGACATCTCGAGCAGCGTTTGGCCGCTGCGTGGCTGCGTCGAGCGCGAGCCGTTGGACAGCTTCAGCAGGTCGTTCCGCGAGAGGGTGCCGGCGGCGCGGAAACGCAGCGCCTGGCGGCGGCAGAGACCGCGCCGGCCCAGCATCAGAAAGAACTCCTGGCGGAACTGTTTGGTGAAGATGGCGTAGAGGTACGGGTTGGCGCACGAGTTGATGGGGTAGAAGAACACCAGCAGGATCTTGGAGTTGGTGACGTTGATGAGCGGGAAGCCGATGATGGCAGTGACGCCGAAGAATGTGATGGGCGCCCAGCAGGCGAAGTCGGTGAACACTAGGAGAGCCATCCGCTTAGCAACCTGTCGGACACAAAAAAGACGAATGACGCTTCTGTTTGATAACATGCGGGCGACAGAAGTCACATGACATATGTATAAAGGGAATCTTTGTCCACGTGTCGGTACATGCAATTACAGGCGGTCATAACATGACAGCATTGTCTGATCCCACGTCGTAACACGTAACATCCCAGCCCGGCGCCTCAGGACGTGTCTATTGCGCCGGAACCCCACGGGGCCAGACGGATCCGGTAGCGTTGTTAGACCGTAGGCGGATTTCGTGCCGGCGTGTCCCGATTCGATCACTGATAGCTGGAGCGGCGGGCGGCTGTTGGGGCCGCGCGACACACGACAGGATGATAGCGTCCCTCATGACAGTGACAGGGGACTGAGGCTCTAGTTCAAACCGGATACCGCTACCCACGTCTCTGTTGCCGGCGCTGGCACGTTAGAACTATTCGGACCTGTGTTGTGTTTCTGGCACCGACCCGGGAAACCCCCGCGTAGTTATATAGTTTCGACATTCTTTGATCAGGCTACTGCGACGTTTGTTAAAGTGAGTACTTCAAATGAAACATTTCCTTCGAAGTAGAGTTAAAGGAAATAGTTCACTTTCACGAAATTATTTTTTTTTTGCAACGATTTATTATTTTTTATGTTCAAAATAATCAGCAAAGAAAATAAAACCTTTTTATAACAAAGGATTTTTTTTCTATATTTTGATATAGGAAGAACTTTTCAGTTTCTGTAAGGCACACGCGATCCAGTATGAAAAGAGCATGGGTCCCGAAAATTCTTCAGAAACAGAGAAATTATCGCAGCCACCGGCATTTGGGCGATCTGCTCGATCTGATAATGTTCCCCTGAATGTCCTAATTGATCAGTACGAGAATTTCTCTAGAGTTCTCGTAGATAATTTCTCTAGTTTCTGAATAATTTTCGGGACCCATGCTCTTTTCATACTGGATGGAAATATATGCAAGGCACACATCCTCAACGCAAGACACCTTTTTCGGGACGAGAAATAGAATATCTTTGCCTAGGGTGATCGTTGGGCTGTAAAAGCTCCTGATTTATGCTCGTCTCAGCCCAAGCTACGGAACTGCTATTCCAGTTCAAAACCCATGTTAAAAAGTGAACTATTTCCTTTAAAGCCGATCAGGAGGGTCACTCAGGGTCACGTATAAAAATAAATGCGTTTGAAGTGTTCAAGCAGCGAGGCAATCGAAGTTCCTCGATAGTTTTCCAGTTACTGATAGCTCCGCCGCGCATGTCGATGACTGGAACCGGCCGATAAATATAGAAGGTCGAACCTACGGTACTTTCCCTCCTCACCCTGTGGCGATGGCGCAGGTTGAGGTCGTTGAGCCGGACGAGCTCGCGTTCCACCGTAGATACGAGTATGCTGTAGTACGCACCTTGAGATCGTTGGGTCTGACGAGCCCGCGCTCCACTGTGGATATGCTGCAGTACATCCTCAGGTAGAACCAGGAGATCAGCAGGAAGGCCAGGCAGTTACCCAGTAGCAGGAAGAGCAGGAACGCGATGCCCGCCTGGTCCTGGCCGTCCTGCACCACGGGTAGGCAGATGCTGGGGGAGACACGACGGGGTCCGCGCGGTCAGGGCGGAGAGCGGGTACTGAATTACGACTGAGAACAGACACCGAATTACGACCGAGAACAGACACCGAATTACGACTGAGAACAGTCACCGAATTACGACTGGGAACAGACACCGAATTACGACTGAGAACAGACACCGAATTACGACTGAGAACAGACACCGAATTACGACTGAGGACAGACACCGAATTACGACCGAGAACGAATACCGAATTACGACTGAGGACAGACACCGAATTACGACTGAGGACAGACACCGAATTACGACCGAGAACGAATGCCGAGTTGGTACTGAGAACGAATATCGGGCTATGAACTGAGAGCGGATACGGAGTTTATGAATTGAGAACGTATTGAGATAAACGTCACATCTGATAATGAGTGACAACTGACAATAGCATTGCTATAATTTCTGCATATACCATTGAAATGCTGAAATGCTGGTATTCTGAAATGCTCAAGGTCTGTCGATCCTGGAGGAGTGGCTTGCGCATAAAAAAAAATGAGACGTTCATAAGCGTCGCTATCCGTTTGGCATTTTCTCCTACCTCGTCTTGCTGTAGCTGCCGATGCCGACCAATGGGAAGGCCGCCATGACTGCCGAGTAAAGCCAGCCGACTGCCATCACCCTGAAAAAAGCACATCAATCAATATGTAAACTGGATCCAAATACAATAGACAGATGCATTTATAAAATCCACGGCTCACCCTCGGCCCCGCCCCTGGCGCCCTCTGTCTGTACCTGACTGCACCGGTGATGCGGAGTCGCTTGGTGAGATAGATGGCGTTGGTGATGGCGTACCAGCGCTCGCAGGTGATTGTGACCAGTGTGAACACGGACAGCTCCGAGGCGAACACGGTCAGAAAGCCGGCCACCTGACAGCCCAGTCCTGTCGCAGAGAGAAAGAGAGGGTTGGGTCAATGGGAGGCATAAGTTGACGCAGCGGGTGGGTGGTAGCCGGTAGGGTCAGGGCGACAAGGCAGGGAAGCGAGCGGGGCAGGAGGGCCAGGTCAGGTCAGCGAGTGGGACAGAAGGGCCAGGTCAGAGTAGTGAGTGGGTAAGAAGGGTCAGGACAGGGCGCGAGTGGGTGAGTACTAAGTAGGATCAGGGCAGCGAGTGAGGCAGTAGGATCAGGGTAGGTCAGCGAGTGAGGAAGTAGGATCAGCTCAGGGCAGCGAGTGGGGAAGTAGGGTCAGGTAAGGGCAGGGAGTGGAGAAGTATATGTAAGGTCAGGTCAGGAAGTGGGTCAATAAGGTCAGATCAAGGCGAGGAGTGGAGCTGTAAGGTCAGGTCAGGGAGGTAGGGTCTGGTCAGTGAGCGAGGAAGTAACTAGGGTCAGGTCAGGTCAGGTCAGGGAATGGGGCAGCAGGGTCAGGTCAGGGCAGTAAGTGGGGCAGTAGGGTGAAGACAGGACTAAATAGCTGGTTTATTTGTATTGTATTGTATTTCTGTTGAGGAGCACTCCACAGCAGCAGTGGCTATTATGGCTCCGAGTCATCAGGGGGAGCGATGCAGTACATTCTAAGGTCAACATATAAATTGAACACATCTACACACTCTGCCACGCGTCCTCACATAACGTACGTCGATGCTTGCAGACATGTCATTCAGTACAATCACGGGCAAGAAAGCGCTTCAGCGCCCGTCGGAAGCGCTGCCCGTCGAGAGCAGTCACGTCCGGTGGCAGCCGGTTATACAGTGTTGGCGCTCTGGTGCAAAAGCGTCGTCTGCCGGTCTCGGTTCTGAAGCGCGGCACGTGCAGCAGACCGTCCTGCCTGGTAGTACGGTGTCGTACTGCCGCGTTCAGACGGAGGACATTTGCCAGCGATTCGGGCTCTCCACTTCGGAACACTTTGTGTGTGAGACAGATCGTGCTTTGGTCAGCTAGCTGCTGGGCTTCCAACCAGCCCAGCTGCTCCCGCAGGTCCGCAGCGTGGTCGAATTTCCGCCTACCAAAAATGACTTTAGCGGAAAAGGCTGATTTTATTTTATTTACGAACAGGCTGATTGTAATTTATTAATCATCGTTGGTGGTGCTTACATAGGTCGGTCCCATGCATTGATATTTGGACCGAGAAGGTGGAGCGCCGTATATTTTCGATTGCACGATGAATGATAGTTTTACATGGAATCAGAACTCCGCTGAAAATTTTCCCTGGCGACTACGGAACCTATTCATGTGACCTTTACTCATGGACCGCGCCCAATGGTGGGCCGTGAATATGAATTAAACTTTACCCGGCCCCGAGACAAGTTTTGGCAGTGGGCGCACACACGCCGGTGAAAAGTTGCCGGGCAGAGCCCCATTTTACCGTTATCAGCGCGCTGCAGCGCGAGCTGCAACACCAATTATAGCGGCCAAATATACCTACTTCAGACTGCGAATAGGCGGGACCTGAGTGTGTATCCGTCGGCAAGAAAGAGGCACTCGGAGCGCGTTATTTCCAATAAGACCGGAGACTGAGAGTATTGTCTTGAAGTAAAATAAGAAATATCATGCCTACGTTCAGAAGAAAAAAAAAGATATGAAAAATAATCGCTATAAATAATATGTGTAATTCTGTTCCCAACCGATCCCCAATATTGACGTGTGACAGCTTACCCAGAACCACCAGTGTGGCAGTGTTTTGTGACTAGGCATGCATGCCTACATACCTGTCTAAATATTCACTAGGGAACGGACGCCACGGCGCCCTCAGCTGTGCACCGTTGAGGCACGGAGGTCAATCAGCTCACATAAAAGGGAGGCATTCAGTCAAGCGGACGATCACTGATCGATCACGATCACGATCAGTGATGCCAACTTAAAAAAGTACTGATCTGTTTGACCTGACCTTAACCCTGACCTATAGTTTAGCTGACACCTGCATAACCATGGCAGTCGCGTAGCACTTCGATGTCAGATTTTGCACAATCCTGACTGAGTTTATGACGAGCGACGTCCAACACGGGGTCTCAAAGTCCGTGCTACTGGAAGCCCAACATCGGGTGTTTGACCTGACATTGACCCAGCCCGTGACCTTATGCACGAACGAGCCTTCGTTTGCCCACGCCTCGCCCGTCTCGCTGCGGCTATTGGTTTTTGAGTTATTGATTGGGAGCGTTAAACGCCTCCCCAAGAAGTGATGGGCGGCAAAATATCCCAGCAACTGCCGGGTTAATATCCGTGCATACATATTACGCGCTCGTACTGCACGCACTATAGGGGAGAGTGGGGCACATTCGTGCATGGGGCACATTCGTTTTCAGCAGTTTATGGGAACACGAGTGACTGCACGAGCTCAAGGTAAATTATGGAAATATGTCTATCATTGCCGCCCTTCGTTCACCGTAGAAGACAACACTGTACCTGCTGTCATGCTTGATAAAAACGCAAATTTGTAATATTCGTGAGCTTTCCAAACTTTTCTCATATCATCCATTTTCGTGATCCTGACTCGGAAATGTGGTTCAGCTTTTCAAAATTGGGGGTGAAGAAGCCCACTCTATTCACGGAACTGCTGCAAACTTGTTTGTTGAAAAAGTGTCATTTTTTCAAAAAGAAATTTTGAAATATATTACTAATAACGTTGTGGGGCAGGTTCGTGTACGCACTGCCTGGGGGCAGATTCGTGCATATTTTTTTAGTTTTTGCGATTTATGACTTTATCTGTAGTAGGTTTCTCTAATGACGCTCGCCTGACTCAGTCTCGACTGCTTGCGACGTCGTGACGAGCAATTCACGCGAACTTGGCGAGGTCACGGAGGCCGGCAGTTGGCACATTCTTGTTGGCCAGCCCATTCTTTCTACATTTGTTGTGCAATGCATTCTTGTCGAAAGGAATCAAGTGAAATGACCCCCTGCCAATTTCCTTTGGTAAATTTCTGGTAATGCCCGGTAATTTCTCGAATTTTGCCGGGTGAACGGAAGTGCCCCATCTCTTGAACGAATGTGCCCCATAGGTGGGGCAGTTTCGTGCAAATGTTCAGAGTTAATAAAAGTCATTTTTTCTAATGGAAGCAATAATTTTATAGGATAACTTTTAAAGAGGAAAACTATCTGCAATAGTTCCTTTCCATACTACAATCAACAATTTTGTCATTGCACTAACCAAAGAACAGATATATGGGTTTATCCATTTTTTGCACGAATGTGCCCCACTCTCCCCTAGGCGTAGTAGAGCCATATGCACGAAGAAATCGTTGGAAACACTATCTTTGTTTCAGGCGCTGGAGGGAAAATCGTTGCATGTTCAATCGCGAGTGAACGGGATGTTCCTGAATCGGGATGTCACATGTGAGCCTGCCATCTCCCACCCGATCAGCATATGAGCATCCAATCAGTATAATCCATACATCTATGAATGGGAGAACACAGACCAGCAAGTGCAAAAACCGACAAACCGATCAAGCATCATCAAGTAAGAACACCTAAACTGTGCAGCCTTCAACTCAAGATTGTATTATCCACGGCTAAACGGATACAATATGTAGATATCATTCAAACGGGTGCTTATCGACCCGTAGGGCGTTGGGATGCGACTGATTGTGCAAACACAGCTTTCTCTACAAACCGTGCAAATAGGATCGTCTATTTTTGCGAAGGCAAATATCGCCGCTGAAAGAGGATTCGACGGACCATAAGGTGCCTAAGCCTCTTTGGTGAGCCGAGTGGAGAGCTAGATATCGCGTCCGTACGCCAACGTTTTTACGGCGTGTTCTTTGGCAGTAAGCGGCCTCTCTTAGCAATCTTTCATCACAATGTAGGCAGAATAATCCTTGCTAATCGCTAGATTTTTAAAGATGTAGGCGAATTTAAAGACATACATTATGCTCAAAACTACATATATTTGTAGGTCTCCGTATTAGTAACCGAGTCCCAGTGCATTTCAGGATACACATGCCGTAAGGATTCGGATCATCCCAAATGTTCAGTGCGTGGAATTATATTCCCAGAAGACGCAGCGTGTCTCGCCGTTCAAAGGCTCCCTTTGACAAGCTGTCATGTCATTTGACAAGCTGTCATGACAAGCTGTCATGTGACGGCTCTCGGACTGTCAGATCGAGATCACACTCGCTATCGGCCATGTCTGACGCTGTCATGTCTGCGTTAGATAGATGAAGGCGGGAAGATGTAGCCCGTCATCACTTTTCCATCAAAACCATTCGATAGCTTGTATGCAGTAAGGCACTATGGCATCGATTTGGGGTGATCTGCCCCAGCAGCCATCCAGGTCAAGGTCAATGAGAAATTGACCCGCCTTCTGGAACAAATAGAGTTCAAGACGCCATTTCTATGCCAGGTTATTGTGTAGATAAACGCTATTCTGTTTGGTGCACAAGAATTCCTTGAGATCGTAGTGAACCTTTTTCTGAGCAAGTGTGTATGCGACAGACAGATGTCATTTCCTGTTTTACAACGCTGGGCAATCTTATAAGGATTGTAATTATATCGAGATCCGGACATCTAGTATAGGTATTACGTAAGTTATTATTACGAAAGTTAAGTTGCTGTAAGTTAATCATATGGCACAAAGAGAATTCCTTCAAAAAGACAGGTGGAGCTCTCCGAACGAGCTCTTCGAACTCTTCGGAACTCTCCTTAGTCCGAAATTAGTGCTGCCAGCTTTTAACGGCATATATGCATCGCAATGAATAGCCAGAAGGTTGAACGACAAAATGAATGGCATTCATCGGCAAATAAACTGCTTTTGTTCTTACTTTTTCCCTCATCCCTCCGAAATAGAACACGAAATAAAATCCATCCTAACCTGACACAACCTCTCCCACCTGGCATGGAACTTCTCCGCTACTATTCGACACCCATGCCTCTCACGGCCGGCCTCTTCCACCGTGTGACGGTCTGGGAGCTGCGGACCTACCTTCCTGCCAGTCGATGGCGAAGCTGAAGTAGACACCAATCGTGTGCACGTCCATGCTAGCGATGATGAGCAGGTAGAGGCCCATGCAGAGGTCGGCGAACGCCAGGTTGCACATCAGGAACTTGGGCGTGGTGAGCTTGAAGCTGCGGTTGATGAGCACCACCAGCACGACGACGTTACCAACCACGGCCGTGACGACCACCAGCCAGACGGCCACTCTGGGGGGGGGGAGGAGGTAGGGAAGGTCACAGCCGTGACGACCATGAGCCAGACGGCCACCCTGAGGGGGGGGGGGGGAGGCAAGGGAAGGTCACGGGAATGGCTGATAAAGTAGCAGCTGCAGGTGGGACCCCGTGTGCTGCGTGAAGCGAGTTCATATGGGATACTTTATGAATGTATATGGGTCTCTTGTGTGCATGAATATGTCTAGATATTGCCATGGGGACTCTGTAGCGTGTCTCGCGACCTTTTACATCAGCCATATCTTGCTACCTGACTACCTAAAGCACGTCATTAACATCGTTATGCAGTTACATCATGCAGACAAAATCAATGGTTCTATCCGGCTGAAAGCTATCATACATTTGTCAATTACGTCCATTCGATTGACGTCTGGGACGCTGCGGTATCAGTTATCACGTTACCAGTCGGACAGCAATGAATGACAGTTAATTGGGGCAGCGACAGCTTCCGCACAGTGACGAGCGAAGATAACATCGTGCATCAGCGGCCTCCATTGGTGCGGGTATAGAGGTCCCCAGCCGGCGATACTGCGCCCGGCACTGTGTACGCCTCAGAAGGCACAACATGGGACCCTGATATCCCCGTGGTGATTATCCATATCCACAGATGTGTCCTGTATCCCATGTCCCGTCTTGTATCCCGTGAGGTTTCCGTAGTGTCACACCAGAGCAATGAGCGAGCATCTTGTAGGCTATGGTGTCTCCTTAGTGCCTAGTGGCAGTTCGTAGCACCTCGCAGCCCATGATATCTCCGTTGCAACTCGCCGGAGTCCCCTGCATCCGTAGTCCAGGCTATCCCCGTGAATACCCACCTGAGCGTCTTGTATCCCATGATGTCCTCGCACGGGTTGAAGGCGTCCGGTGTGGGTGAACAGACCACGCTCCTGAGCCGGCTGGTCTGGTCACTGTCACAGACCAGGTGGCTGGTCTCCTCGGAGACCGCCGAGTGGAAGATACCCCCGGAGACCGCTGGTCCGCCCGCGCCGCCGGCCGACAGCGTCACAGACTCCCGGGAGCAGTTGGTGAGCTTTCGCAGCTTCTCTGCCCACTCCTGTGAGAGGGAGGAGAGTCAGGCTCGGTAACCGCACACCCACAGTCTTACAAAAGAGAGGGCGCTTATCTTTTACCTCTTTCGAGCGGGGGCAGTTGGTCAGGTTCAGCAACCGCTTTATCCATTCTTACAAAGGGAAGGGGCGTTTATCTGTCCTCTGTTGCAGGGGAGAGGGACACTTCATTCAGGTCAGGCTCGGCAGCCGCTCTACCCAGTACCCGCTCCTGAGAGCAGCAGCAGCCGGGCAGTGGCACAGCGAACTCAAAGGGAGAAATCTCGCGATTGGGTTATGGAAATGGCATTAGGTTGATTACGAACTTTGATCGCATATGCCTGCTGAGTTGCCTGTAAATATTCATGAGAAAATCGTGCCGGTCTAAGTCCAAATAATGGACATCGGTATGCACTATCTCGAAAGCAATATCAGGGAAAATTAGAATTCCGATGCCCCATCGTAAATGAATTCCATGAACTTTAATATTCGCCGATAAATTATTCCTGAAATGACTGTTTTATTTTTGAGGGCTCCATGGTAGAAAAATATACCTATTCTTAGAAAAACATCGCACCTTGTCTATTGACTTTATTGGTTGAATATTTAATATTGTTATTTATTTAATCCCCATCGCGACCGACCTGGTATCGGCGGTGCTCCTCCGGGTCCTGTATATCGGGGAAGTTGAAGGCGCAGCAGTGGTACGGGTAGGTCAGGTGCGCCTCCTGGATGGAGCGAAAGTGGTAGACGGACGGGAAGGTGCGCAGCGACGCGGTCCGCTTGATGAACAGCTGCTCGATGTCCTCCAGGCCGTTGGTCGGCAGGCTGGTCAGCGCTGTATCCGACATGTCACTGCGGGGGGGGGGGGCAGAGCTGTCAGACGGACCGGCAACGGCGGCAGCACCGCAGCACCACAGCAACAGTACACTACAGCACCACAGCACATATAGCACGGCACCCGTTATACACCACAGCACCAGTCATCCTCAGCAGCACTGTCCCCTATACCACTGCCCCTCGTAAGTACCACAGCACCAGACACATTCAAAACCAGTTCACCAGCACACGTCACAACAGTCACACCAGTCACAAGTCACCTTCAGCACCACTGCTCCATACCACCGCACCACGGCACCACAGCGAACCATCGCACCACTGCTCCACCGTCCAGCGTTCACCCATGCACCACGGCATCACCGCACAGCGCGACATGCCACCTCATTATGCTTCATCAACAGGCGGGCTCTCGGAATATGCTCGGCACCGCGCGACCCCGCGCCGGGTCGCTGTTCGCCCTAATGCACTGGGGCGGTACCGATGGGTACGAGGCGTCGCAGAGCGAGACTTCCGACGTGACGCGCCGTCTCCGAGCTAATGGGAATTCATGGGGTCACCGACAACCGTGGTCCGGATGGTACAGAGGTGTGAGTCGAATATCGATCAGTCGACGTAGCATGAAATGGATGGATGGCTCCACAAATCGCTTTTAGGATTCCGCACTTTTTGAGGATGGTGATTCAGTCAATCGCGCTTCGACCCCAATCATTCTGCTGGCCGTTGTCCCATCAACAACCTCCACAGTAGCTTACAGAGGGTGGCATTGTTGATGGTTGCAGCTAAACGATTGAACAGCTGAATCAGTGTTGCAACTTCATGCATGCTCCTCGTGTGAGCACAGATCACGTGCAATGTGCATGTTGAACATTCACCCGAATCCAGTATGGAGGTAATTAGATACTGCTGTAAGACAAGACACTTTTATATTTCAATTCAACCTTTCTTATGCATCACGCAGCTCCCCTTTATGCAACCAATTGCGCTGTATGTATACGTACTTACATACGTGCCGGAAATTACAACGAACTTATTCCATTGGTTTTGACATCAACAGAAGCCATTATAGCAGATCAATAAGTGCCAGCTAATCATTAGCGCAGTCTTCTGCTCAGTAAGCAATAGCGCTGAGAGCAGTCACAAGCCTCTCGAGCGTAAACGGTTTCGCATTAGCTGCGTTATGTTCGATAAGGCCGATCCCGCGCCGACCGGTTTATACGGTCTTGGACTTATCTACCTATATCCAACGACTAGGGGAACTGTCATAGTCATTTCGATGATTTGTGTTTTTAGGACGCTCAGACTTTGGAGGTCATCGTCGTTGCCCAGTGCTGTTTGTTATTACTTTCTTTCGATGTCAGAAATCAAACTATAATAGAGCTCATATAAGAAAGTAACGTATAAGAAGGTAAAGCTGTGCAACAGCCAACAATTGTTGTTGGCACTTCAACTTCTGTTACATTTCTTGATTTGATAATTGATTGGCTAGCGCCAAGCGTTGATTTGTCAGCCAACATCATTCATGCATGCTCCACTCGTATCTTCTTTTTTTTTTTTTGCTTCTTTTATGTGTGAGATCGTTGTGACATATACGCATGCAACATGCTCAATGGAACTCTCACAAGCTGTGCATATAGCAGTGGCGGATCCAGGATTTTCACTGGGGAGGGGCTGCAGGTCATAATTGGGCGCCACGCCCCGGATGGGCGCCATAGTCGCATCGTATTGGCGCTGAAATATTGGCGCCCAGTGGCCCTGACAAGAGGCGCCCAGGATCAGTATGTACAGTGACACCACACGATTGGAAATATCGGTGCGGAGCGTACTGAAACGACGTTATTCGACTGATTTTTGCATCCTAGTCCTAGTATGCGGCACTCCGAAGAGTTGCGAATTGAAAATTGGCGCCACTGCGCCTTCGGCGCAGTGGCGCCAGTTTTCCTTGGGTGGGGGCTGCCAGCCCCCGCAGCCCCCCCCCCCTGGATCCGCCACTGGCATATAGACGCCTACCCGCTCACATTGTGATAAACCTCCGTTGTCACCACGCGGGTCCTAAGCACCGGAATATTCCCCCATGCAGGAGTGTGCCGAGTAGACGGCCGTGAGCGGTGAGCTCAGCTGGACGCGTCGTCCATTGACGGCACTCAATGGCATTAGCGCGAGGAATTTGCACACTGTGTGTCGCATGCCGTTGTATTCACCAGTCAGCAGCCAACGCCGTGTTGCTATGGCAACCACCACCCGATAGGAGGAAGCAGAGGGGACCAGCCTGTTCGGCAGAGCGAGGTTCACGCATTTAGCTAAGTGCTGGCCGCGACTAGTCCTTCGGTGGGGCGCCAGGATACCACAGAGTATTGGACGGGTCGGGCCGACCTTCTCACTCCGTGGCTCGACCTCTGCTGTCACAAACAGCGGCATAACAAACAGCAGACCGGGCCACCGGCGGCGGCGACTACATAAAGGCGGGTCGGCGTGACTACGAATTGGGCGGCGATGAGGTTTTGACTGCGGTGCACCCGAAAATTGGGAAAATGCTATGCAGAAAAAGATGGAAGATATGCGAATTTACTCCGTTCCTGAAAGGCACATTGAACAGGAAAGCTTGGCATTGTCGGGAGCGCTAATGAGACGATGCTCTCTCTCTCTCTCTCTCTCTCTCTCTCTCTCTCTCTCTCTCTCTCTCTCTCTCTCTCTCTCTCTCTCTCTCTCTCTCTCTCTCTCTCTCTCTCTCTCTCTCTCTCTCTCTCTCTCTCTCTCTCTCTCTCTCTCTCTCTCTCTCTCTTTCTCTCTCTCTCTCCCTCTCTTTCTTTTTCTTAACGTGTTTACTTGATTTTCAAATATGAAATCAACTCTCACTCACTGAAGTATGCCAACATCCGACAATGCTCCGAGAACCACTTGCGAAACGACGCTCTCTACCTCGCCAAAACTGGTCGGCTATAACCTCCACTGATCACCCCAGGCTGAGCCATTGCCCAGCCTGCATCACATTCCCGTCCCCGCGTCCCCATGCTATCGTCACCGATGCGCCACGATTCGCCGCGCCACTACTGGCAATAAGTGGACGTCCGGCAAACATACACTGTGTAGCCTGGCGTCTCGCGGCGCCTTCTCCGTGTACATAGCCGGAACGGGACGAATAAACAGGCACATCCGAGCGCGCGAGGGGGGGGGGGGTGGACCCCATCAGGGCCGGTCCCCGGGCGAGCGCCCAACGACCGCTCGGATAATTGTGTTCTGGGGATGCTGGATAACGATGCTGGCGTTATTGTTCCACTGTCTTCTTTTCGGAGCCAATAGCAGAGGGGCTTTTTAGAACAAACGCTATATGTATATGTTACAGGGAGTTTGAGAAATCAGTGAGTTTGCAAACTCCCTAGGGAGAGTGCTACGGCTCACATTTAACCAACACATGTGCGAATGTACGCAAATTAAAATATATATATCCTTTCAAACGCGTTACTGGCAAGTCAGAATGTAATTTTGTGATTGAACGAAAGCCGTGTGCAACGCAGACTTTTTGCAAGCTATTTTCTACACTTACCTATATTTACATATATTTTTCATGAAATGTTTTAGACTATGACATAAAAAGTGAAAAATTAAAGAAATATCAAAAGATATTATCCTCTATCCTATGTAAAAGCCTGAGACCTTCCACCAACGATTTCCTTATCAATGTGCGGAATAACCGGTTTGCCAAGAATTACACAAACGTTCCATTCTGGTAAGCCGCACATGATCTCGGAATGCGATGCGCTCGAGTGCTTTTCCACAAATGTGCGTTGTTCCGATTGGTGCGGATTGTGAACAGCCGACCGTTTCCCAGACCCGCTGAGAATGGGGTCTCGTTCGGAGAATCTGGCACCATGATGGTCCTACTCCGCGAACTCAGTTTTAGTTCCGGAATCCCCTCCCCAGATCCAGCTTATACTGCCGATCCAGTGGTGTAATATCGGGCTCTGATCAACGACAAATGCCACCAATATGGTCGACCACTGCGCTGAAGTCAAACGCCTGACTCTCCATGACATGACTGCACATGGAGCGGCACTTTGGGTGTAAGCTATTGCAGTACTGAACAGACTCCGATTATTCATATTTCATTCATTCATATTTATTTTGCACCAAACATTGGCAAATTCCCGACAGCTGATAACAAACAATCATGCAGCTGATAACAATTATAATGCACAACATATTGCACGATGTTGACGGTGGATACTCACAGTTTTCGGAGTCCGCCGAGACCTTTGAACGCCAGCTGGTCCACGTGACTGAGACGAAGGTTTCCGTTCAGTTGGCTGAGGAGACATGTACCACAGCCGGTCAGGTCACCCACGTGCAGATTCCACGTGGCTTTGGAGTTGGACAGTACCCAACTACCATCGCAGATGAGGGTGATTTTTCGATAAGAGGTGAAATTTTTAGACTTTCTAAAACACATCAGCGCCAAGCACATTATTTCGTACATACAAGTGACACATAGTCAAAAACATACAGCAGTTACACGGCGCATAGACGAGTGTACGCTTTTACAGCCCTCCTCCTACACACGGGACTTGTGCGTCACTGCGGGTCGGTATTTACGACGCCGGTTCAATGGTCAGAGGTCGCCGTGTGCGGTCAGGTTTCCTCTCTCCGTCACCACAGCACAGAGCGCTCACGTGGAAAATGGCCGGCGCGAGTTAGAGCCCCAGCCTTGGTTCACCTGAATGGCCCAGCTGCAGAGCGATAACCTGGAAATGCACCCATTGTGGCGCAATGCCTGCCGCGCTCCGGCTGAACGAGTGGAGGCCCATGCATGCAAATAAACTCGTACGTCTTCAGAAATGTCCCATTTCGAGGGAGGTTGAGATTTATGGTCATGATCGGTGCTTCATAGCAGGATATAGGGATACCCGGCTTGTCGAAAGTCGGTATATTATCAGACAGCGTACCAAAGGCAGACTATTCTTCTCAGAAGACCATAGGACTTCAGCTTACGACCATGCAAAGCTCGGCCGCAATATTGAAACTAACTATAAATCACCCAAGCCCTTGCCGCTGTATCTGATGTTCAGTAGTTTCCATGTTATGCTGTTTCTTATGCAGCGTGATTTGCTAGAGATGACAAATATTTTTTCCAGCTGAATGTTTCAGCATTTCTACAAATAACGTCCTAACAAGTGGTGCCAATCGGAACTTGTATTCCGATTTTGTTCATTGTGCAATTCGGAATGTGCAGTTGGACAAAAGCAGCAGGATTTGGACAATATTGAACAATCACTTTTTGGAGCAGTGTTGAGTGTAAATTATTGCGTAATTTTCGGAAATCTTTGGACAAATGGCTGGCTTGAACATTTTTGGACGGCCAGTCGACGAAAATATCGGACTTTGGACGGGTATTTGACGGACGGGCATTTTCTGAAACTGGCACTACTAGTCCTTGCGAGTGCCGATATATTCATGAAGCCGAAATAAATAAACAATGCGATACGGATATAAGTGGGAAATGATTTTGTAGCGTTTCAAGTATCTTTTTCTGCTGCCTCACAATGAGCAATTTAACCTCAGCCGGCGCCGATAATTTCAGCACTCTCGAAAGCATATGGGAGGAGTAGTAACAGACGACCTCGAACCTATGCCCAATAAACTCATGGACGCTCACAACAAGCGTCATGCTTAACAATGACCTCCGGCAGCATCTAGACCGACTTGATGCAGTATCGCCGTTGGGTCGCTGGCCGTGACCCCAATTACTCCTTTTCCGCCCACCTTTGGCCTATCCTCCACGGCATTAACCATCCCCTCAGCTGGAGTGTCCGCTCCAGAGACTGGAGGACCTCTCCAGGCAGCCATTTGGCCCCGTCTCCCGCGGTGCGGGTGAGGACTCCCACCTCGCCGCGGTCGGCGTGCATTGGAACGACGATCACGAGCTCATTTCTCGCCCGCAGCTCTCGAAAGTGGAGCGAGGGGATCGACGGCTCGACCGGGGCGGCCGCTCCGGGGGCCGTCTCCTTCCGGGACCGCCGCGATCGGCGACGGCGAATAGACCGGAGACACGCATAGCATACCGACCGGCGCGGCGGGCCGACCGGAGGGCCGGAATGGCGCGGGGTGAAAAACGAGTTCCGGGGAGATGCAGAAAACAGCGAAACGTTCGCACAGCCAGAGCTGAGCTTGTGTCTGCTGGCGCGACGATTTGAGCCGGCGCGGCGAGAGGCTACTGTATTTACTGCACAGGTGCTCACAAAAACGGTATTATGCAAGGAAACGCACTCAAAGTAAGATGATGCTGGGACGCGCAGGCAAACAACAAATTTATTCGGGGAAATAGTCCAGAAAAAACAAGCACGAGTACGGAAAACGAATGCAAAAAAAGGAAGTCAAGTTTGGAAGAAGTCAAGAAGTCGTCTTAGGGATAGCAGTGCATAAAATGACGAGTGACTACTGACTAGTGACATGTCTGGCAGCAAGTCTACTGACATGTGTATTATGTATCTATGAAAAAATATTTAGCTGACAGTGTCATGTTTCTAAGTCACATATCTTAAAGGGACCCTCCCACCTTCAAAAAAGTTTATGAATTGGCATGAAAGTGATGTCGCTCGGTTCAGAAAGAGCGAAAACGAATATCTACCAAATTTCACCGAAAAATATTCACCGGTTTTCAAGATATTAGACTTTTACTTTTGTTTACTTTTTTTGGGATCTCCGCTGTTTCTAGCGACTTTATTTTAGAAGTGCGGCGTTTGCGGCATATGTTGCGCGCAAATAGCATATACCACCGCGTGCTACAAAACGTTTTAGTCAAACATTAAAAAATCGTTAGATATCAGCGCTGACGTCACACATTCAGAGGGGTATTCCTAAGCATTAGCCCCTCTGAATCAAAATGCTGCAATTTTGAAATTCAATATTTCCGATTTAAGGCATTTCTCGATGTTGTGAGTGCCGAAACCGGTAATTGTGAGCCAGGGACCCCATTTTGGCTATCTCAACTCAAATCTAATGTTAAGGTGGGAGGGTCCCTTTAAACCTCGCTATGCAAAGCCATTTTTTATAATGTGCCCTGGCAAGGGGGGGGGGATCGATACAACCCCAATGGCGTTTCGAAACTTAGCGTCGTAGCACTTCGCTACAAAGACCAGGCGGTTGCTCTCAACGATTACTCGCGATTGGTGGTAAATTCTTTTAGCCCTAGATTAATATTGGACCCAGTTATGACAGGTCGAAGGTACATTTCGGGGAAACGCTATAATTTTCCACGTTACTTAGCTAATATTGGCGAATTTACATAGCGTCAGCGAATACAATGGCGAATACAATAGCGACATGAAACTTTCACAACCGTGTTTCTCAATGAATGAGCAGGAAAAAATGTTTGTTGACCACATTTAAGTTATTACTGGCGTGACTTAGTCCCCGCGAACACGGGAGGTCACACCGGCCGCCGGCGAGAACGGTCCTAATTGACTTGAGTTGACCTTGTAAAGATCAAGGAACAGTTTTGAAAGCGTTTAGGTGGAAATTGAACCACAGATTCGGATTGAGGACCTCAAGAAACCCCACCAAACACAGCTCATATCACAAAGGTCATCGTGTGAACATGCGAGATCATTGACCTTGCTTGACCTTAGAAAGGTCAATATACAATGTAAAGATTTATGTCCTGTCAAAATCTGACATAAATCACACGGAATAGTTTCGTTCTTGTCGATGAGATCACGCCCAGTTACGCGGAATGTACGATGTTGTTAAAAACGGAGGTTGTACATACCTATTATGACGCCATAGCTCGGTGACCTGACATGGCCCGAAAATTATTTTTTATCAAAAGCTGCGCAAGGAATGCTCCATAGGCTGTTGGAAATCTCAGCACGATCCGACTAATGGCTCAGCAGCCATCGCAAAAAAAAAACTCGGGGGGGGGAGGCTCACATCGACCCCCCTCTGCCAGGGCGAGGGTTAATACTATTCAAGTGTGCAATGACTAATTATAAATCTTACAGTCAACCAAAGTGATATATCTTATAACATGATAAGTCCAACAAATACCGAGGCCAAAACCTGTGCACCTCCAAAATCACTCATGCATTGGCTGGTGGCTGGGGCCTGAGACCAACAAATATCCCGGATCAGAGCGCCGATATGTAAGCTATACATTGAGCCGCTGGGATTTGAGATCTCTTATCCGCGTGATACCCGCATCCCGACTGGGCTGGGTGACACGAATCACGCCCTTTACGACATTGCTGCATCCTAATTCAGTGCGTCTCGCCGCGAAAAGTTCGGATGTGGTTGCTAGTTATAATTGTGCATGCAACTTCAACTGACACTGGGCTTGAACCAGTCATTCGGAGCATGTTTATCGTATCTTAGGTAAAAATAGATAAAATATACTACAATGAATCGCATGAAACATAAATGCATATAAGATGCGTTTTGATAGTTCTAATCATTATTATCATTATTTCAATACCAGTTATACTGCGAATTATATCTTTCTGCATTACCTTATGAAACAAAATTATGCGCTCACGTCGTTTCAACAGATCCAATGTTTCAAACTTACATTGTGCCGATGAGGGAGCCATTGAAAGCCAGTGCCGAAATCGATTCCAGCTGGTTATTAGCTAGAGACCTGCGAGAAAATGAAGCATTAGGATACTAAACGACATGGTCGAAAAGCAAGGTACTGCTGCACATGGCCCTAGCAAATGGGTATTCATAACGAAAAACTTTCAGGCACGTTGCATTCCCAGCAAAGCGTAAAACCATAAGTGATTTTCCAATCGATATTGATTATCATCTCAAAAATGCCTAAATATGCTGAGCTAAAAAGAGTTGCTTTAACCCTCGCCGGACCTATTGGTTTTCTACATACGCGCCGGCCGAGGGGGGGGCGGGTACGACCCCCCCCTCGCCGTTTCGCCCCTGGTGGAGCTAGCGCGTCGCGGAAAAAAACGATCGTGTGCGCCGTTACGAGACGCAGAGATTGGTACCCGATTTTAAGGTCCTAGGTCAACCGGTGACCTCTGAGGTCAGGTCAAGTGCCCCAAGGTACGGTTCAGTTTTTGGTGAATAACTTCGCAAAAAACGGTCGCAGAGCGCCGATTTTGGCAGCATCGTGTTCGTCTCGCTCAGGCGCGTCGAATGATATACTTTTTGTCCGGGTCAGGTCAACTTGGGGTGTTGACCTCAGGTCAAGGTCAGGTCAGCACCCCCAGGTCACGAAGTTGGTCGAAAGAGGTCATGTCGCATATCATTCGATTCGGCAGGTCTTCCTGAGTCCATTGGTGGCTTTTCCGACTCGCTAGCTCAATTTGATCAAGAGTTATTGACGAAAAACTAATATGACCTTGATGACGTCATAAATGACGTCACGCAAGGTCAACATTGCAAAAGTGACGCACCTAACCTTGCAAGGAGTGCATAAAATCATGATTCTGTGTGCTTGAGATAGTTGGAGATCGTTCCCGGCGCCAGAATAGCAGTTTTCATTTTTCCCCATTGACTTATAATGGTGAGGTCACGAAAATGACCTGACCTCATATGACCTTTAGGAAAAATCCGAGATATACAAGTTGTGGGACTCATAATGGATTCTAGATCCTGCAAGTTTCATTTCCCTGTGACATCTCCTCTGGCAGTGAGGGCGTTGCGAAGTTGCGACATCTGAAGACCGTGCAGAGGTTCACTTATGACGTCATAGGTCAGTGACCTGACCTGACCCAAAAATGCGGTTGGTGTCAAAAGATGCGGCTTGGATCAAAGGTCAGGTATGCCAAGTTTCAGCTCTCTATCGCCAGCGTGTTTGGAGCTATCGCGAAAAAACCCTATGGGGGGGCGGCACCCGCCCCCCCCCCCCTCGGCCGGCGAGGGTTAAAATAAACTAAAACAAAATTGGGGAACACTCACAGTTGATCGGTAGTCACTCTCAGGCCGTTTGTTGGCAGCAGCTTGATTTGATTGCCATCCAGGTCACTGAAATGAAGGGAAGAAATCAGCGCGTGCTAATGGCACACGTGTGCTGGTGCTTCATTGCCAAACGGGGGAGCGTTTCACTGCGGGCAATAACGCTAGAGCTGGAGTCTCCTGTTAGTCTCCTATCACAAAATTGTGCTGAATTAATTGGTCCCCCTATATGTAAGAAAACTGTAAGCAAAGAGTATCGCCGTTGAAAGGTAAGGGCTACCCTGTGTCAGCTACCTCTAAGGCTCCCCCGTTTAAAGTTTTTTTTGTTATTTTAGTTTTATAATTACACGAGTAGATTGAAGTCAGATTTTTACGCAAAATGTCTGCCAGTTGCATTCAAATCCAGGATCTGGAGCAGGTGAACGAACTGAGCCATATAGGTATGAATGGCCAAAAGATGATGATGCAACTTCACCACCTTAACGTTTGGAGCGGACAAATCCGTTATAGCTAGGATAGCGTCAGAGTGCAGCTGTTTTAGATACAGGTTAAGGAAAACTAGTGCAGATAAGCATAACTTACATCATATGCATGATGTTGTCTTCTGACTGAAGGCTGGATAAGTCCGGCGGCTCCTGCAGGCCCGTGCCCACTATTCGCCTGTAACAGCAACACAAGCAGGTAGTTATCCCTATTAGTGGCAGGGGGGTTGTTTTTATCCACCCCTCAGGTTTTTCGGGAATATCTCCGAAACCGCGGAAGCTACGATGCTGAAATTTTCTGACTTTTCCTAAAACTAAATTGGGCTTATTCCCTGAAAATTTCAAGTTCATAACTTTACCAGGGGCGGCTCCAGAGCACTGGGAATTGGGGGTCCTATTCGTGAAGCGAGTCATTTGGGCGAAGATCACGATGCTGCACCAGTTTTACGAACAGTGAATGAAAGGTATCATGTGATAACATATACAGTTATTGTGCATCCTCTTTTGACACGTTTTTGCTATAATAGGCGGATCCAGGCGTCCAAAAAGGGGGGTTATGTTTTACCTCCCAACATAGGTGCCCTGACACCGCCTATGCATGACCAATACAATTGTAGTCGTTCTCTCATAAGAAAATTGTAACATAACAAGACCATTACCACCCTTTTTAGAAACAGTACCAACAAAAACCTTATTTACTATACTTTTTGTGTACCCCCAATCTCAATGATCTGTATCCGCCTATGATTTTTGAAAATGCATATTTTTAGGATCCATGTGAATTCCTGGTTCATTCTCTATCGATCGGCAAAAGTTGCGTTAGGATTGGTTCAGAAACCTGGCCGTGATAAACAGTCTAAAATGTATCTGCAATTTGCCCGTTTTTACCCCCCTCTACCCCCCTGTTGACATTTTTTAATTTTTATTTTTTAGAAATGTAGATCACGTTGAGCGAAATCGAATGCTGTTTGAATTTTGAAAATCGGCCCGTTAGATCTCGAGATATCAAGGGGGGGTCGTAAACAGCCCCCCCCCCCGCCACTAATAGGGGTATACCAGGAGCCTGCCACTAATAGGGTTATACGAGTAGGGGAGAGTGGGGCAAAGCGGCCACCCTAACGCTTCTCACGATGCCAACGCTTGATTTTTAAATTTGGAAAGATTCTTTCTATGCCAATGTGATCCCTATTAAGTTGCCTTTTATTTCTACTGCGTTTTATTTCCAAAGGCGTTCACATATGAAAGATATTGACAAAACTTTAAACCTATGCATACACTGTAAAAAAATGTCACGAGCCAATTCTATGACAAGGAGTGGGTTACATGGTCGTCCATTGTACCTTGCTGTTATATATAGGGACATTATCAGCCTGAGAGTTGTTAGTTAAAGAGTGGCCTCGTGAAACAATTGGTTACAAACGGTAACCTAATAACTTAAATGCTTCCCTAACACCCCTTCCTGCTTATCAACAGATTTCGCGCTGTGTCGGAAAACTACGCATAGTCTCATAATTAAATCCGCCAGAAGCTTGTTGCATGCTAGTTACATGCGTGTTTCATTATCGTGTCATATTATTATTATGTCGGCTAATGAGGCACCGCCCTGCACGTGCTTTAAATATAATCCTGCGCACACGCCACCTAGTCGGAAACTCATCATCGGACTAGTCCTGGTAGGGTTTTCGTGTTGCCGAATGAGGCGAAGCGACTTTGATTCGGTAGTGCCTCATAAATCCCTGCTACGGTGAGCAGCGACGAGTCTGAGACTGCTTCTAAAACGCGTCCTTCACTTCCGGCGCGGGGCCGTCATTTCCGGCCGCCATTGTTCAGTTCTGCGGCTGCCGGCGGTTGGTGCGGTTGTGTTGTGGCACGGTGCGTTGTGAAGTTCTCGGACTGGGATATTTTGAAGGTACGTTATATTGTATGATATTTACGTAGCAATGGGCGACATTTTATCTATTTTGTAATATTCTGAACACATGTTGCCTCATAGAATTCACCCCTTGACCGTTGTGGGCCACTGTTTCGTTTGAATTCCGACTATTGGAAGACGGACTTTCTTTCAGTTGCTGTCTAGCCTTTTTTCCAAGTGTGTAAGCTACATGTCATATTGCCTCACATTGATTTATCTTATACAAAAGTCAGTTGATGTAGATAATAAAGCCATCCTCACTGATATTTTAAAATCAGCAGTTAATTTTCTTTTCTGTTTGCAGAGTTGCTCAAAGTTGTGGGAGACTGAGGCATGAAGGTATACCGGAAGCCAGCGATATTTCTGTTGGTAAGCCTCGCCCAGAAAAAATACTTGCTTGAATCTGCAAAGTATGGCAAATATTTGATTGCCTGCACAGTGCACAATGTACCTGACATGGCAGGATCAACTTGCTCACTCGCCTGTTGTAAGTGCCGTTGCGTCAGAGTCCGTGGAACTGCCCGATCGTGTCTCATGCAACCGTATTATTTTGTGAATGTTATTGGTGGTGACTCGAATCAGCTTTTGCACCACTCCACTATGATATTGTAATATGTATATATTTATATATTTTGTATCGTATGCTGATAAGTAATAAACGTTATTTTTTGTGTTTTTTTTTTTGTAACGTGGTTGGCACGCTGTCGTGGCTGTCGTTGGCCGGGTCGTCCACCAGTCGGAGGGGCGGCTGGGGAGGAGGAGAGGGGAGGGTGACGCAATTGAGCTAGTATTACTACTGGGCAGCAATAGCAGGCGCTAGCTGGTTGGGTTACCAGGCGAGTCCTGCTAAGGAGCCTAATCGGCGTACCGATCTGCTGGTTTTGCCCTCGTTTTCAAACGAGGTACCGAATAACGAAACGAGGGGCTGACACGGGGGTGCTCGGTTTATCAGGCGTGGGCTTGTCATTTACTAACGAAACAAGCTTGTACCCTCTTACTAGCTAAATATGAGTCGATTTTTACACGTCGCTGCATGCTCATTTTTGCGCCAGCGGTTTTCCTACAAGGGGCTTGTAAGATTTTTTTACAGTGTATTGGCCACTTTGCCCCATACCCTGGGGCAAAGCGGCCACCGGCGTCTTCTCAAGTCCCGATATGAGAAACAAAATACATAGGCGTAGGAACAGGGGGGGCCAGGTGGGCAAGTGCCCACCCACTTTTCGAGGTGGGGGGCCAACCATGTGTTTTGGCCCACCCACTTTTTACTCGAGGCCCCTCGTCTCGATTTGAGAGGACGTCGTCACCTTCCAGAATAAACAAACTCGGTAAAAATAAGTTCCACGAATCCCCACGCACGGACTCCAAGGGGCCGTGATGGATCCAAGGAGGCCCTCTGTTCATACTTGTCAGTCGAAGCCCCTGAGACTGATGGCCTGAGAGGCCCTAGTGGATCTGAGGAGGCCCCAATATCCACACTGGTCTGGGGAGGCCCCTGACACTGGCGGTCTGGGAGGCCCCTCTATCCACACCAGTCAGAGGTCTGAGACTGGTGGTCTGGGAGGCCCCTCCATCCACACTAGTCAGAATAGGCTCCTGACACTGGCGGTCTAGCCGAGGCCCCCTACCCTCAATAGTCAGAAGAGGCCCCTGAGACTGATGGTCTGGGAGGCCTATCCATCTACACTGTAGTCAGAGGAGGCCCCTGAGACTGATGACCTGAGAGGCCCTTATAATCCCACCAGGCAGAAGAGGCCCATGAGACTGATGGACTGAGAGGCCCTTCTATTCATACTGGCCACAGGAGACCCCCAAAACTTTCGGTCTGGGAGGTCCCTCAATCCGGCACCAGTCAGAAGAGTCCCCTGAGACTGATGGCCTGGGAAGCCCTTATATTCACACTAGGCAGAGGAGGCCCCTGAGACTGATGGTATGAGAGGCCCTCATATTCACACCAGTCAGAAGAGGCCCCCGAGGCTGATGGCTGTGAGGCCCTTCTGTTCATATAACTGGCCACTGGAGGCCCCTGAAACCGGTGGTCTGGGAGGGCCCTCTATCCAAACTAGTCAGAAGAGGCCCCTGAGACCGATGGTCTGAGAGGCTCTTATATTCATACTGGTCGCTAGAGGCCCCTGAGACTGATAGTCAGAGAGGTCCACTCCTAATGAATCTGAGGGGGCCCTCTATCCACATTTACACTTTTCTAGGGAGGCCCCCGAGACTGATGGTCTGAGAGGCCCTTTTATTTATACTGTCCACAGGAGCCCCCTGAGATTAATGGTCTGAGAGACTCTTCTATTTATACTAACCAGAAGAGGCCCCTAGGATTGATGGTCTAACAGGCCCTTCTATTTATACTAGCCAGAGGAGGCCCATGAGACTGATTGTCTGAGAGGCCCTTCTATTCAAACTAGGCAGATGAGGCCCCTGAGAATGATAGTCCGAAGAGCCATGCGGCGGCAACTGGCCGTGGCCATATTTCGGCTCGGTAGGGCCCCACAGAGCTCATGAGAGAACCTCAAGGGCTCCTAAGTAGACACGCTTATCCCCATAAGGGTGCCACGCGTGCTTCTGAAGGCTCCTTGTAGGCATCTAAGGGCCCTTTCCGGCCTCTAACGGCTCCACCCGCCTGTGATGGCTCCACACCAGTGTTTATGAGCGCCACACAGCGGCGCCTTTTGAGGGTCATACTAGTGTCTCTTAGGGCCCTATATCGGTGGCTCTGGGGGCCCCACACCGGCGCCTCTGTGGGCCACCACACCTTTGCATCTCAAGGCTCTATAGATACTTACATCTGAAGGACCCACACCGACACCTCTGAGGGCCCCACACCAGTATCTCGGAGCTCTGAAGGCCCCACACCGGTGACTCTGAGGACTCACCGGCTCCTGAGAGCACCATGTTGATGTCTAACGGCTCCACAAGGCCAATGAAGGCACCACACAAGCTCTCACTGAGCTCTAATGCCCATGTACCGGCCTCGCCAGCGCATTCATAGCTCCACACCAGCAATTGTAAGGGCTTCACACTGAAGTATCTGAGGGTTCCACACCGGTGTCTCTAAGGGCCACATACCGGCATCTCTGAGGGCCCCATACCGGCGTCTCCGAGGGTCCACATCTGGCGAGCACTCATCAGCGACTGAAGGTCCCACACTGTCGACTCCGAGAGCCCCATCTGCGTCTGGGAGCAACATGTCGTCTCTAAGAACCACGGCGGCTCCTCCGTCGAAAGATGGGCGTCTGCATGCCAAAGGGGAGCGGTTCTGA